TGATGGGGCATCTGCTGGCTTGCCAGTCTCTACGCAGACGGCGTTTCTCTGCCAGTTTCTTCTTTAGTGCGGCCGGGATGTCTCTAAAGGGTTTCTGTGTGGACCCCGGCCGAGCTTCGCGTTCCATGGCGGACTGTCCAACTTTCAGAGAGACCGTCAATTCCTTGCTGAGTTGCTCGACGTCGGCGGGGGTTTAAACCGCTATGGATGGCGTGTTGCATATCATCGAGTCTCGAAATGCGTTCCAGTCGTACCGGCGGCGCGGGGCCTGCGTTCTCAAGTGTGCGGGCGTTACTAAGTATACCGGTTGATGGTCGGATTGGATATCCTTGAAGAGGATTTCCTGCATCGGTTGGCAGTCCAGGCCTTTGAAAGGGCGATGTCGAGCACATCGGGCATCCTAGTTGTATCGTAGGGATAGTGAGTTGGAACCTCAGGGCCCTGTGCCGTGATATCCATTCTCTCAATTATCCCTAGTAGACTTTTCCCTTATGCGGTGTCTTGATTAGAATTCCAAGTCGTGTGTTTGCTGTTCCAATCTCCCGCAGCGACCGTGGGTAGTGGCGAGTCAAAGATTTTCTGCACATCAGCCAACGCGATCTTGTTGAGTGGTGGTTTGTATACAGCAAACACCCGGATGGGGCTTCCCTTGATGCAAAGCTCGACCCCAAGTGCTTAGAGAGTGCTGAGGTCTGCTTGTGGAATCGGCTGGTGAATGATGCGTCGGTGCACAAGGACTGCCAACCCGCGGTACACCCTTCTGTTGTCCGACAACTCGTCCTTGCGGTACACGTAAGAGTGTATAGAAAATATTATACGGCCTTATATAGGGATGCAAACGATACATCGATTTTTTTAAATATCGATGTTGAAACTCTACACATCGACGATACATCGTTCTTCATGAGCGATTTTTAATGAACGATTTTTAATCATATCTTCCTCCCGTCTGAATTCTACATCTATAGACATAAACAGATAAACTTATCTTAGTTAACAGACAGTAAGTTAGTAGATTTTTCTATTTAGCTTCTCATTCGCTTTGCAATACAAAACGTGTGTAAAATGGCCATTGTTTTCTTTGTTGTTTGACGTTCACAACATCTTATAAATAAAAGAATAAAGTTAACCTGATACATAACCTCAACTGTGTACTTATTTGAATGTAAGTAGGTAGTAGTATAATTAGTCCAATAATATAACTATACTCTATTTCATTGGTTTTAGTTTACTAAATGAATTTAAAGGATAAAATTTTAATGAAAGGTATGAAGATATATATGGTCCGACTTAGATAATATAGATAGAACCTTGAGCCTTAAACATGTCATCACCTGTCACTCCAATAAAGGGAGACGCGTTGGAGATGTAGGACGATATGAAGGGATTATTTCCCAGGCTCCATAGTCCACCTATGATCTATTTGCCTATTGTGGCAAATATAAAATCCAGTAAGCGGTTATTTTTAGAAGCTGGAGCGACAATCCCCCAGGAGAGAAAGCGTTTACTGGGTACCAGGTTGATAAAATTGTTATTTTTATACTCTATTTTAAAGAAATAAACTTAAAAATAAAAAATGTTCGATTAATACTTGTTTCCTGTTAAAAATTAATAAATATTCGATATAAATGTTAAAAGAAAAAAAAAAATAGTATAAAAGTTCATAAAATATTTTTTTTGTGATGTGATAACGGCTTTGGATGTTTCCTTTTAGCCCATCTTTAATTTCTATTACTTACATTTAATATAATTTTGTTTTTATTAATGTAGTTATTTTTTTCATTTCCGTTAAAACTGCATATTTATTCGACATATATAGATATATGTATATTAGAACGATGGTAAAAAGCATAATAAAAAATCGATATAACGTTCATAAACTTCGATGTTTATAACATTTATAGTAAGCAGAGTCGTGGGTTGTGAATTGAAAGACCCCGATTGTCAAAACAAGTTTAATACGAACAACAAATAATTTGAACGTATTGGCGGCCTGAGTAAAACTACTGTAGAGAGCGCCAATGTTTATTACCTATAAAGAGCGGGTGGATACCCGCGAGTTGCCCGGATTGGTCGTTCTATTATGTTGGTAGTAGTGACGGTAGGTTGTACCAGACGTTGATATTTCTCATTTCAAAATATCGATGTTCTAATATCAATATTTTTTATAAGCGAACTTGCATCCCTAGTCTTATAACCCTAATAAATTCAGATACAACCTCCTTGCATATTGTCTATATAAACTGGGTGAAATATATAAACTAGTAATGTAAAATTTATCATTGACACTTTTTATACGCTAACCTGTTATGAATTGACAAAAATAGCAACTGATGGTGTATCTATTGTCTTCTTTTTACTAATTATATTTGCATAAGGAGAGAAAGAAGGCAATCATATTATTTAGTTCTTATTTTATCATTCCTTCTATGTAATTCCTTGTTCTGAGATTTATTTAGTGTTTTGAATCAAAGCCTTTTGTATTTATTTGAACGTTTATTTGTAAAATATTAATCAACTCACAATATTAATTATCGAGATGTCGGTCTTTTGAGTGCACGTGGCTTTTCTGAATAACTTAACCTCGCTAGCTATTTTGACAGTTGATATGTCACGCATTACTTTTCTTTATTTATGGAATGTCTACAGATATAGTCAACATTTAGTGTAGGTAATTGAATGAGTTAATAGTCTATCTTGCTCTCACATACATATTATAGTTTTTTTTCTCTTTTACATTAGCAATCTACGTTTATAATTTTAATTTAATTTAGTCTATGCTTGTGATTATGCATAGACTTAGTATAACGTACTTAGTATAAATATATATCATGTATATCTATTACCTCTTGGTGCGATTATTCTTTATCTATAATTTTAAGTAAAAGATTAATACTTGTGCCGATTGGTTATCGAATATTAATCGATTTTTTTTATAATTGAAGAAAAGACCTAGTGTTGGTCATTTGCCACTAAGAAACAAGAAACGAGACGATATATTAAATAAAAATGCAAAGGATTTTGGTATTAGTGATAATAATGTTATAATTAATTATATTAACTATTATGCGTTTGCCATTTCGTTTAGAAAATTTTTGTATTCCTATTATTTAATTAAATCAATGTTTCTACTTATTAGGCGATTTAACGACTAAGACGTTATCCTATAAAAAATCTTAGTAAAATGATAAAATTAAAACAAAATTAGTTACATCTGTCCTTCCTGCCCTGACTAATATATAAATTTATTGGCCGAGATTCTATACTGACGGTAGTAAAATAGAAAACAAAGTCGGCGGTTCTGTCTCATGCTGGTTCGACGGAAAAGAATTATACTTTACCAGTTTTTTGTCTGGAAAATTTCTGCTTTGTCGTCAAAGCAGAACTAGCAGCTTTACTCAAATATATTGAGATAATGTTTAAAAAGCCGAAAATTGAGACTGCAAACATCTTGAATAACTACAAGTCTGCCCTGGAAAGTATCACTGACCCATATCCGTTCTACCCGCTAACGATGGAAAAACGACAAAGAGTCAGAAACACTTAAACGCGGCGGCAAAGTCCACTTGTATTGAGTGAAAGCTCATATAGGTATACCTGGCAATAAGCGTGCTAACGATCTTGCCAAGACTGTGACCTTAAAAAAGAAAACGAAACCCGTTTATGATCGGTTTCCATTAAAATACGTCAAAAAACTACTTACAGAAAAAAAAAATCTGTAGATATGTGACAAAATATATTGTATATACAGACTCAAATACAGCAGCCGTAGCAAAAGTGTTCCTACCTGATATCTGTACAAAATAGTAAAAACTATAGATATAGATAACACTATAACTCGCCTTTTCACCGGACATGGAGGAAATCCGTCATATCTACATAGGTTCAAATTGGCGGATAGTTCCAACTGTCATTGTGATAATGAAACCCCACAGGTTCGTGGAGTTTCATTATTATTAATTTATTATTAATTAATAAATTAGATAAATAGTATATGCTGTATGGTTATACAGCGATTGACTTGCCAAGATTTGCTAAAAGCTGTTATGAGTGTAAGTGTAGAATGGACGAAACATTATTGGAAAATAATATTGAACACATATTTGAGAACAAGCAAACTACTTAACTTTTCAAAATCTTCGCTGAAGGTTGTGGAGAAGGGAGAATGGCGCAATAGGAGTGGACTAAATACCGGACACAATATAAATATTTATACATATTTTTATATATAATTATACATTTAGTTTTCTTATAAAATTTTATTGTAAAAAAAAATCATTGTCACAGTTCTACATACAGTTATATTCACAAAGATCTACATGCATTTTTTTTTATACATGATAATAGAATGATAACGCCTACGCTGGGGCACCAGTGAGGAATTATTGGCGAGGATAAAATAAGTCAGTTAGTCCATCGTCACGAATTCAACAATAAATCTATCATGATGTATTTTAGAGGGTCGTGGAGGTAGACCTGGCAGGGCACATTGCCAGCAATGGGACCGCTAAGCTCAGTTTCTAACAATCCTTTCTCCCCCCCCCCCCCATCTACATATAGTTATATTCACACAGATTAGAAGGTTATCGGTTATTATTATATAAAACATACCGGCAGAAAACACAGATTATTATAAAAAAAGTATAACTTTAATTTAAACGTATAAACATTTGTAATTGCCTTTATTAAATTGAGGGTTCTTTGTAGATCAATGAAAAATTTAAAACTCAGTGAGACACCAGTATTTTCAAAATGTTAGCATAATGAAATTCTTATTTTATCACTTGTTCCAAATACATGTCTGTTTTTTTTATTTTATTATTTTGTGTAATCGATTCGTGGAAAAAAATTCTGTCTCAAACATATTTAGTCTTTCCTTAAACTTTTTAGACAAGAATGTGCAATTACTGTTAGTTATGCATACTTGATTTGATCGAACCAATTTTATTTTAATCGATTAATCGATCGTTGCTTTGTATAATCGTTATATGGCATCTCAAACTGGATCGAATCAAAACATATTTTTTAATTAAATTCGTACGTAAACGAATCCGATGAATTTTATGGAAAACTATGTCATCTGTTTTTGAAAAATCAAAATAGATGTATTTTATTTATCCATCTATGCAAATTTTGTAATATTTTTCTTTCCAGAGTTAAATTTGTGAAAAATGTCTAGAGACGCTCGTCACTGTTTCATCAAGCTTCGCCGCCATGTCTGAAGTCGGTCTGCGTCTTTGTAATTCGTGTTGTGCTATTTATTGTTTCTAAAAGGCAGTGATTTTTGATATCATGGACGATGAATTTATAAAAACATGAATTAACTATGAACTTTGATTATGTGTGTAGTGTTTAATAAAACGTAGCAAATCGATAAATTCCGTTTTCGAAGAAGGTACTCCAACATCTCAACATCGTATTTTTAGTTCGTCCGCCATATTGGCGTTAATAATCTTTTCGTAAGTCTTTTTTCATAATTTCTAGCTTTATCATTAGTATATTGTCATATTTTTATGCTAATTTTGTTGCCCATTTGTTTGGGCTTTATTTTATCTATTAGTAGTCTGTGCATGTTGCGGGAATTTAGTAAAATTACGACATATTTGTTCATGGCCTCCTTAAAGGTAATTTTCACCCATTTCTTTTCACTGGCTTTGAGAAAAGATTATCGAAAACAGGACACTTGTTATATTTACAAAATCTGTATGTAATGTATTATGAATCATTTGTTGTTGTGTGACTAGCACCTTATTTTTCTATGTATTGTCATTTTGAGAGTAGGGCCATCGAATTCTTTTATTACTTAGTATATTAAGTCCAAATCCTATGCATTATGTTACTTAAATTTTCAAAATATAGTTACTATTAAAATTAATTTACTTTTTATTCTTAATTACCCAACCTTTTTTAAAGTCCATAATATCTGCTTAGTCAATTTTAAGCTCAGAGAATGTTCTAGATCTTTATTCAATTCTGTGAACTAATTTCCAAATTTTGTTCAACAGTTTGTAAAATAATGTTCCCTTTAAGTATAAAAATAAAAGTAAAAAAATGAAATGTTTATAGGTATGTAACTATGAATAAATCAATGAACAACAATTCCATAGCATATACATACTATGTGCATATATTCATCATTGGCATATTTTGAAGTTGCATGATGCATAATTGCATGTGTATTTTGTACGAAGGTATATATATTATCTATACAAACCTATAGAATTATAAATATGCCTTTAATGACAAAATTATGATCTAAGTAGATTGTCATGATGATGATATTCTATTAGTAGTGATTAAATATATTATATTCACAAGATGTTATATATTTCTTTATAAAGTGACAACATTATTTTACTACAATCATTAATGATTTCATTAGTTTTGATACACTAGTCTTATTACCTAGAAGAGATTTAACTGCAAACCTATACTTGTGTGAACATTCTCATGTTGACTATATAAAACTATCAAGAAAAACTATTTATTTAAGGCATTTAAGAGTGTTTTTTTCATAAAAACAATTTTAATGTTAAAATTACTTTATATACATAATATTTATATAAAGTAATATTAACTATTATTATAATAACTGTTATTTATATGCATAAAAATATAATGAAAATATAATAAAAATACAGTCACATTGAGAATTAATTTTGACTATTAATTAAAGTAACTGGTTAAAAGTGCAAAAGTGATATTAATCTGATTGTTTACATTTATTACTTATTTGTTAATTTTATGCACTGTTATTTTGATAAACATATATAGATACCATGATTGTTTACATATATACTAAGTACATACTGTGCTCCTTTATGTGATTTAAGTATTTACTAAAATATATTTTTTAAATACTGAAAGAAATGGTATAAACTGTTCTAGTAATACATTAGAACATTGATAAGTTGAATTTCAACAGAAATGCTAAAAATTAATGACATTGTAACTTAAGAAGTTCCAGATCCAAAGAATGGAGTCATTAAAAACTCAACTTAGAAAATCACAATTTCTAATTATGTTTTTCAAGTTGTAGAGTATACATATTTCAATAATAGTTTTAGTTTATTAGATTGCAGCCTTTAAAAAAGACTATTGGAACTAGGCTCTGAGAATACAAAATAAAACATTGAATTTTATGCATATAGAGGTGCAGTTTGCTTTTAAAATTTTTAGTATATGTATTATTATTATCTCATAGGTTAATAAAATTTTGTTTGACATAAGAAAAAATAAGTCTAACTAAATTTGAGATGTTTCATATTTTGCAATTTATCAGAAGGGAATGACAATTTTTTTTTTTCAACTTACTCGAAATATGTACTTAATGAGGTATAAGTTATGTTAAACAGTTATTAATTATATATTCATAATGTAGTTTAGATTATTAAAACATTGGTACATAGAGTAGGTAGGATATTTTTATTATTAACTAGTGGCCCGTCCCGGCTTCGCACGGGTGGACATTAAAACATTTTAAAAAGTGGCCATTAAGGCTGCACATGCGATGGAAGCTTAAAAATGGAGTAATTTCCCCTTTTCCTAACATTTCCCTTTACTGCTCTGCTCCTATTGATCGAGCGTGATGAAAAGTACATTATAACCTACCCAGGAGTATGAAGAATAATTGTACCAAATTTCATTAAAATCCGTTGAGTAGTTTTTGTTATTATGAACAGACAGACAAAAATTTTACTGATTGCATTTTTGACATCAGTATCTATCACAAATCACCCCCTGATAGTTATTTTGTAAATATATTTCATGTACAGAATTGACCTCTCTACAAATTTATTATAAGTATAGATTATAATTTTTAAATTACATTAATATGTACTAGTTGATGCCTGCAACTTTGTCCATTTGTTATTCCTTCAATGAACATTTTTAATCTCCTTATTGAAGTAAACTATGTCTGGGAATACTGGACCAAAATTAACAAGTGACATGTCATTCTCACTCTTTGCCTTAGGTCAAAATGATTTAAGTAGGTTGTGTACTAAGCTGTAAAAGTTACTATAGTTTTTTTAACTATCCCATTGAAACTTTATGATTAAAAGTGTCTAAAATGTGAACCAGGGATGTAAGGTAACAACATGCAAAGCCTGTACAAACAGACAGAAAAAGATTTGAAATAAATTGGGATGTCTATTTCTTTTCTGACAAGGCCCTGACTCGTCGTTTAGCATTTTTTTTTTCTATGTACATACATTCGACCTGTACGATTTTACTATATGTATAGATTTTTAGTTATAAACAAGAAGTACTATTGCATAATTTTAATTTGTTTTATGTAAATTAAAATTGCAAATAAGCTAATCGTCCATCTATAGTGGTAAATGTTGTTTATAGGAATGAACAACAATATGACCAATATAGATTAATTTGTGGTATATGGTAAAATTTAATTGTAAGTTTATGAAATAACATTTTTTTTCTGATAACTATAGGTAGATAGTCATTTTTATCATAATTATTCAACTCAATCTAATATATTCTTTATACTGGGAAGTATTATAATATTGCTTCACCAATAGTTAGGTTGTATAATTTTAATAGTAGTTTATTGATTCTAAAAGTTATGAAATTGTTTATTGTATATTTAATTTTTAGAGTGATTATTATAAGGTTAGATATTTATACATAACAAATGTCATACAAACTAATAAATTATTTGATGGTAAGTAGTAACCCTCACCTATAGACTAGTGTTATTTGGGGATGAGGCTTTAAGTACAGATTTATTAAAATAATAAAAATGTCTCAATTCTTGTTCTTCTCTAGCTGTAGCTTCGCTCCTGTTATTTGGGTTAAAATCTAATCCATATGTAAATGTAGTATATGGCCCATATGGAAGATATATAATATAAGTTTCATTTATATCTGTTCAATCATTTAAGAATTGATTAATCAAAATCTCCACAACTATTTACATTATTTATTTATATGTATCTAATCCAATAACATCACACTTTTGGGCGCGTATCTCCTCATGAAAGGAGAATATTACCACTACTACTATGTAGACCCTGTGTTTTGGTTTGTTTTTATATTTTTCTTCTCTTATACGTATGTATCGTGCTGTGTAATCTCTTACAGACAATTTTTAAAACAAAATGGGATATTCTATATACTTATTACAAATTAATATTATACATGAGAACATGAATGTCTGTCTGTTTATTACGTATATTTTCACAACTAAACTTCCGGATTTGGTAGAGAGGTAATTTGTGATCTAATAAGGTCAAATGAGGTCACCAAAAATGTATGGGTATTGGTCTAGGACCTTTTTATTAAAATGAAATGATAATTTCTCTTTTTAATGCTCTTGATTTATTTTGGCAGGGTAGGTATTAGGCGGAGATGATAGGTGAGGTTGAAGTCAAGTTGGTCAATTGTGATGAATTCACCAGGAATTAAATATGATGGTTTCCAGGAAGGAATACACGAAAATCATCTCCATAATGTATTTTGGAGACAATATAGCTTGCCTAATTATATTGTGATAATAAATAAATTATAAAGACTACCCTTACGATCTGCTGATAGGTAAGGTATCCTAATGTCTGATATTAGGGGTATTGTAGTCATTATCACATCTATTCAGAGTCCATAGCGATCTTTATAATAGGCCACGGTTACCATTTTTCGTCAGATGGATATCATTCGATTTATAGATATAAACAAGATATTTCATAGTTTTTTACATCGAAAATATTCGAGTTTGGAACACGGAATCGTGTATCTTACAGTATCTAACGATATGGGTTTCCAAAGAAAATCATTTAATATGGGACCATAACGTAGACTTTTAAATGAATTGTGGTAAACTGTCTAGAATTGGCGACGTAATCGTGCAACGTATTAGGACAAGTTGAAAACCTTTTTCTTTTGGGAGTCGTATGATTTCGTCATCTGTCCATATCCTCTGTTCTTGGCCTTGGTTATGACCAATGGGATATGGACAGATGGAACGTAATAGTACTATGGTACTATTACATTTGCCGATTAAGTTTATTTTTGATTAAACTTACCAGCAAGACAGGAGGATAATCATATTAAAAATATATGGCTAGAAATCATGTGTTTGATTAAATTTATCTCGGGATTTTGTCAAATATAATTTCTTTATTAAGGTCTTTTTTGAATACGATTAGAGATGTCCTATCAGATTTTTTTAGTAATAATTGCCATCCTTTGAACTTGCATAACCCAAAAAAAATTAGAAAAGTTTAATAGTTACTTTTATCAAATTAAGACTATAAGTTTGAAACATTTAAGACAATGAAAAACGATCTTATTCTTTTTTAAAGCAACACCCACCATTCCTATGGTGATAAGTGTGTGGGCGGCGGTAATCACTTCTTAGGAGAGCCGCAAATTTGTTTAACTCTTGTGTTATAAAAAAAAAATCTAATTAACGGGATAAAGAGACGTATCGATTAGTTTCTTCTTTTTATTTTAAGGAGCCGGGTTTGATTCTCGTTCGGTCTGATTATTGAAACAAATTTCTATATTTAGTAGTTATATTCTACGATATGATTTTACGAAAGGATCATTAGAATGGGCGCTTCAATTGTGAATTAGAATTGGCAAATAAATGGCGTTATCTACATAAAAAATATTGTTACATTGAGGAATTCCTCTTTGTAGTTACTAAAAATGATTTGAATGCAGCAACCATTCAATTCTCAACTTATCAACACTGATTAACATTTAGTTCAGAAAACAGTTTTAGCCGAGAAAAACTGGCAAGGATTTTTATGTAACAAAAATAAAATTTTACAAGTGCAAAAACTACAATTTATACTATAGCAATTTATAATTAAATATGTAAATATAAATAATATAAGATCAGGCTAGTCTCTTTCTCTTTCAATAGTTAACTCTGTTCACGTATATGACAGATCCGCCAGCTATTATTACTTGCAATCGTTTTTAAGGAGCTCAAGAACTACGGATGTTAAAGGTCCTCTGTGTATTAGTATGTATATGTAAAGAAAATCCTTAAAAAAAGAATATGGTATGAGTTAAAATATTTACTATTAAAATTTTTCTGCCAATTATGTACTAAATATACAATTTAAAATGGCAAATGGGTAGAAAGTGAAAGGTGTTGCTATATACGAACTGCACCATAGATATCGTAGAATACCTATACTATTGTCCATGACACTTAGTGCAAGTCCTGAGTGACGGACGGCGTATCGCGTATCTGCCAACGCAATGAGCTGGATCGTGTTCGCGCCCGCTCGCACTGTGGACCGATTCAAAGATTATTTTGTTTAGTGCGCTGGCGGGTACGCACACATGACGCACCATCACACAGAACCTACACTTATTCCTTGCTTACTGAGGGCTAAGAGGTAATGGTTCTATATTCAGTAATTATACTACAACTATAACATTGTACATATATTTTTCCAAATCAAAATCTATGTAGTAGCTACAATTTCTATCTATACTTTATATAAAAAAAAAAAATGTTTTAACGTAAAATATGCCAACATTTGCTTCTATTTATAAAATGTGAACGTAGAAATATATCTATATCAGATCTATCCAAACTATACTAAGGGTACTAGAAAACTAATAGACACATACTCTCTTACCACAAAAAAAGTTAAATTAGCGATGTATAGATGCTCAATACATGTTTAGACGATTTACTAAAAAAGCGTTTATATCCAAAAAAATTAAGAATGTTGTTAAAAGGTGTTTAAAGTAATAAATTTTATTCTAGTCTATAGATTTTGGTACATTAAATTAAAAATATTATTATACCGACTAAACAATATTTAATAATTTGGACTGAATTTTGATAAACACTATTTAGCGTTTTAATTTTTTTGTAGCAAAAGCGTTAGTTTTTTAATACATACGTGTATTACAGAAATATATAGAATAGAAATACCCAGATCAGTACAAACAAACATAGTGATGAATAACATATGCATGTAATATACGACGATTGAACACTTAATCATTGGGAGCGACATAGTGTAGTAAACCAGTATATTGATTGCTAAGATGGACAACATTTGATAAAACATTTTTGAAGAAAAGTAATAGTTAAAAATTCGGGTATTCTTTTCGGCAGCTTTTGTATTATAAACCATACAGCGGTATACAGATACAATAAAATATGCCAACAAAGGTAGTAAAAGAATTTCAGCGTAAGGAAAAGTGTTTTTTCGTCTTTGTGTTTACATTAGTAAACGTAGTGAAAATGGACACGAATGAAAAAAATGTGGCATTTTACTAAAAAAGTCAGATATTGGTATGAAAATTAAATTTTTATTAAGGGGCCATTAAATGCAGAAATAAAAAAATAGAGATTGATGCTTTAAATAAAATATCCTGCAGTTTTTCTTTTAAGCTTTTAGAATATTAATATAACGCGATTCATAAAAAAAAAAATATTTTAACTTTTATATCAGAATGTAAAGACTTTCTAATTGTAGGTAAACACAGGTCAAAGAAGTACTTAACATTTTTTTTTTATTTTCAGATTCTATAGTAAGTACCAAATTGTATCAGTTTGGTTCTTTATTCATCACATCCTACCCTGCAGTCATATGCAAGGTGAGTCATAGAACTATGTTTTTAAAACAATATGTCTATTAAGCGCCGTTCACACATTTCCGGGTCATATCCGAGCACTCTGGTACAAATTTGAGCTTCAAGCTGTCCAGGCATCGTATTCTATCTTCACATCCTATCTGTTGCCGGAGTATAATTTATATCATTATACTCCGCTGTATTAGTGTGCAGTTTTCTTGATGTTCTTGTTATAGAGTAATACACGATTATTACAAAAATTGTTGCAGTCATTGATAGAACAAAACGTCAGAGCATGCTCTGGAATGGATGCGTCCGACATGGAATCTATAGAAGTTTATACAAAATGCAATTTTATCCGTCTTATACTATCACTAACCAGACACTGACTCGGAAATGTGTAAATTTAGCTTTCTTATTTTTTTATTACTTGCAGGTGCAATAATTTATCAGCCAATGACTGGGCTGGATTGTTTCTAGGTGCAAAAGCACCAACAAAAATTTATTATGATAGATTGGTTTAATGTAATCAGAGGATATAGCTGATGCCTCTTAGCCAGAAATTGGATGAACCTCTTGTTACTATTGAGGTGAGATTTTTTGATGTATAAATTTTCTTTACATGTATAGAAATTGTTTTCTTATACTTACTACAGTAGTTGTGTCACTTTGGCAGGTAGATTGCTGACTCCAGCACAATGCAGCAGGCTGTTGATCCTCTCGCAACAACTAGTACGGTATGTTAAGAAACAATTTATCTGGAGTAATATATTATCTTATTTTTAGTCATACAATTAAACATTGCTTTATTTTAGCCTACGGCGGAAACCGTCAATGGCGCTCCGCCTGATGAAACGCCAAGGCGACAAGGGCGCGTGACGAATCAGTTACAGTTCCTTCAAAAGAACGTCATGAAGGCTGTATGGAAACACAAATTGGCATGGCCCTTCCATCAACCTGTTGATGCGAAAAAGTTAAACCTTCCAGTAAGTTGTTTTTTTACACTGGGTACTAAGTACCAAAAGAGGCAAACGACGGTCGCTGCCATGGTGTTTACATCTTGTGTAAAACGTAACATGAACGAGATTATGGATATCGTAAAATATAATGTGTCACTCATATAATAGTTGATAGTAGTAGTAGTGATAGTGATTAAACCGAATCGTTTATCTGTTACACTGAAACTGCAACAATGCAAACAAAAAGGAGTAGGTAAAATGGTGGTACCTACTAGGCCCAAGCAAGTGGCACAAAAGTACAAGCAGTTTTTTGTAGTAAATTGAAAATACTTGATTAAATCCTTTTACCTTCGTATATTTTTAACTAGCTTTTACCTGCGATTTGGTTCGTGTGACCGGGATATGGTTACTGATCGGGATAAAAAGTAATCTATATCTCTTTCCATTAAATAAGATGCGTATACCAAATTTCAGTGATCGGTTAAGCTGTTATAAGGTAACAAACGAGCAAATAAATTCATTTTCATAATTATAATATTAGTAAAAATTGTAGCATAGAAATGAAAAGACTTTAAATAATTATATTTGCTTCATCAATTTTAACGACATAATAAATGTGAAAAGTATTCTTTTATGTTGCTTTTTTTTTTTGTAGGATTACCATAAAATCATAAAGAAACCAATGGATCTGGGCACCATCAAGAAGCGACTTGAGTCCAACTATTACTACTCAGCACAAGAATGTATCCAGGATTTTAACACTATGTTTACCAATTGCTATGTCTATAACAAACCGGGAGAGGATGTGGTTATCATGGCACAGACTTTGGAAAAATTATTTCTGAATAGGGTATGTTACCATTTTATAAAAGTTGAATTTATAAACGGAATTGTAAATAGTACAGTCAATAAAATAAGGATGATAAATATTGTAGATAGCTCAAATGGAAAAAGAAGAGAAAGAAATCGAGGTCCCGTCGAAAGGTGGTAAAGGGGGAGTGAAGAAGCGAGCAGGCGGCGGCGCTCCTGGCGGCGCAGCGGGCGCGGCGGCGGGCGGCGGCGCGGCGCCGGGTGCGCCGGCCGGCGGCGCCGCGCGCGCTCCGGTCAAGACACTGGCGGCGCCGCCACACCCCGCCCTCTTCAGCTCCAACAATTCCACCACTGCGGCCTCTATTCCGCCGCCCGCGGCCACCCCACCGGCCACTCATACCGGCCTCCCTCAACAGGTATGATAATGCACTTGTTAATAGTGTATTATTTTGTAACATAATAAAGTTTTGCACCCTGTACTTCATATATTGTAACTATATATTTATATATTTAATACTTATTTATTAGTACGTAACATAGTTTCCTTTGTATGTTTGAGAGCCTTGCGCTGGGTGTATTGCCACTTAGATATTACTTTATTATGGTTAGAGATAGTGAATATAGCACTGAGTTCAGATATTTGACAAAATAATTTAATCACACGCTAATTTTAGGTTACTACGCAGCCATCGAGTTTTCACGTTGCCCAACCTACCACACCCGTTACTATTCCGACAGTTGCCCTGTCTCAGACGCAACCCGCTAAGGTATATATAATCAATATCCATTTTACTTATTCTTTCTGAATTGCCATTGTTTTTATTTCATTACATTGTAATGGATGAAACTTATTATATAAATCTTATTTCAAAGGTTAAAAAAGGCGTGAAGAGAAAAGCTGATACTACTACACCTATGGGAAGTTCGTTTGAAGGAGGTTACATAACACCTACTATTGATCAGCAAAGTGGACCTAAACCAGCAAAAATTTCAACAAGGCGAGAAAGTGGTCGGCAAAAGAAGGTGTGTGAAATTTATATATACGAAATTCATTTATTCATTATTCAATATATTTATATAAATTATAAATTATTATATAAATCATAAGTGTTTACTTTTGAAATAAAACTTTACAGACAAGTCGAGTGACAGAAGATAATTTTAAAATGGGTGGATTATCTCCTGGTGTGGGTGGAGCTGGTGCTTCACATCATTCTACAATAACCCCACAACTAGCTAAGGGCAAAGAGAAACTTTCAGATGCTTTAAAAAGTTGCAATGAAATATTAAAAGAATTATTTTCTAAGAAACATTCGGTAAGCTTTATGTTATTATCATAAAATGTTTATGAATTAAATTTTTGTTACTAATTAACAATTCAATTTCAGGGATACGCGTGGCCATTTTATAAGCCTGTAGATGCGGAGTTGCTTGGATTACATGATTATTTTGATATAATTAAAAAACCTATGGATTTAGGAACTGTTAAACAGAAGATGGATAATAGAGCGTACAAAACAGCTGCAGAGTTTGCTGCTGATGTACGTTTAATATTCACAAATTGCTACAAATATAATCCACCAGATCATGATGTTGTTGCAATGGCGCGGAAACTGCAGGATGTATTTGAAATGAGGTATGTGCAAATGCTTCTATATTAATATATATATAATAGTAAAAGAATGAATATGCGGATAATTTTTTTATATATATTTTAGGTATGCCAAGATTCCTGATGAACCTGTCCATGTTGGTGTACCTCATATAGATAAGGGCAGCTCTGCATCAAGTTCAGAATCAGGCTCTGAATCGGATTCCGAGTCCGATGATTCGGAAGAAGAGAGAAATAACAAAGTAAAACTCCTTGAGAAAGAACTCCTAGCTCTTCAAGAAAAGATGAGGAAACTTGTTGAAGAGTCTAATACCAAGAAAAAGGCAAAGAAGAAAATGAAAGAAAAACAGAAGAAACAAATCACAAATAGTAGTCTACCCAAAGCCAATACTGTAGCTGCTTATGGAACGAAAGCAAACAATATAGCTGATAATATAGGTAATATAGTCTTTATATTTTAAATAATATTGCAAAAAGCCCGTCTGTATCAAGACCTTATATGAACAAGTTTTTGTGCTTGTTAAGATTTTTTTATTGATAGCACTCGTGCTTCTGTAATGAATCAATATTAATTAGACGATTCTAGCGGATACAGTTATTCTCAGCTAATGTAAACTTATAACATCACATGACCCACATAATTGACAGGAGTATGCTACTCCTTTTTATATTATTTTTATAATTATGGTGCTGTCCAATTATTACATTATGTAGATTGTGTTGCGAAGCTTTGACATTTTAATACTTTTTGTTTTTGATGGTACACCCTTCAAAAAAGAATTAAATAAGAATGTTCACAGTGAATACGGAATATAGATACATGCTTAATATCTAATAGACTTATATATGATTCGTCCATATACAATAAGTGAAACGTATATTGAGTTACGTACTGTTAGTTATATACGAGGTGTTATAATGAAGCCGTCGGTTTGCAGCGACGCCGGGTGTTCGCGGTAAAGGCGCGAGGTCACGGGGCGGCGCCGGCGGCGCGGGGGGCGGCGGTGGAGGCGGCGGCGGCGCGGGCGGCGGCGCTGGCAAAGGGGCCGCGCGCGGCGCCCCCGCCGCCAAGAAAAAGAGCTCCACGCCGACCGCCGCCCCTGCGCCACACCAGCCTCCACACCCCGATTCCGAGGATGAGGACGTCGCGAAGCCCATGTCCTACGACGAGAAGCGCCAGCTGTCGCTCGACATCAATAAGTTGCCAGGTCAGTTCCCGATTACATTCTGAGCGTTGTAACATATTATTGGTGGTAGTACATTTTAGAAAATTTTACTTTATTTAGTAAAATTTTTAGGAGTCTAATCTAATAAAAATATATATATTTTTAATATGGTCTGATCTTCTGATTAGTTGTTTTGTTATATTCATTATTTATTTTGTCTATGTTATGGTAAATCAATAAGATTTATAATCCGCAGTAAGCGTCAATATGCATATTAAAATAGATGCTTCCCTAATAACAGATTTTATATTGTCAATATTTTGTATCTCATTAGTTTACTTGGTTCAAGATATATTTTATTTTCAGGAGACAAACTCGGCAAAGTAGTTCATATAATTCAGAGCAGAGAACCTTCATTGAGAGATTCCAATCCCGATGAGATTGAAATTGACTTTGAAACTTTGAAACCATCCACCCTAAGGGAATTAGAAAATTATGTAGCCTCATGTTTACGCAAAAAGACACGTAAGTAGAATTATCTTGGAATATTAAACTCTAGGTTTTATATATATTTATGCATTTTTATCTCTTGTTTTATGCTGTTTTTAGTAGTAAATTTTTGGTTTAAGTACATTACTGCAGCGGCCAGCAACTGAGGCATTGATGGACGAACGTGCAAATATGGGCCGAGGCGTAGCCGAGGCACACATACGTGAGTCCATTAATGCCTAGTTGTGGCCAAGGCTTGTATAGTACTTTTCTCAAACAATGCGCGGAAATCAGAAACACAATTTTACTTTTTAAGTTCAATGACGAATAACGAACAATAATAATTTTTCACGCGCCATAATGTTCCTTTGTTTTTTTTTTTTTTTTCAATAAACAGCTTTCTATTTGCAAGCCAGTTCGAAATTTAAATAAAACCTTTTATTAGTTACCTCCTTGGTAGCTATGTTTCGAAGTAAAAGGTCATTCCATTTTTAAACTACAGGACAGATATGAGTTTACATAGTAATTTTCTGGCCGCAAAACACGACGGATATGGATTTTCATACAATTTTTGCCGGCCGCTGCCCGCATGTATCTGGCCAGTATGGCAATTTTGATTTATCTCGAAGATTGTCAAAATAATGCTCATATTTTCAAGCATGTTTGAGAAAAAAAAATTAATATCTAAATCATATTTTTGTGCTTCAGTGGTAATTATCTGAATAAACATTTTTTTTACTACTGCTAATAGCAAAGAAGCTGAGGGCCTATTACAAACATGTACTGTCTGTTTATCAAATGAAGCATGCTATATATTGAGACCTACCATTACATCTTGATCAAAACATGCAGTGCTGTCGTAGCATTACTACTTCACGACAGAAATAGGTGCAAGTGCCGACTATTGTCACCATTAACCTGTTTCATTAGTGAACTAATTATAATTTTGGTCAATTAATTCTCCAATATAAAATTTTTTGTGCACTTTGAATATCGTGCACTGCAATGGAATTGCAAATATGCTGACGGTCCATCTAATGGAAAGTGGTAATTGTCACCTATAAACATGATCTTACGGCGTAAGCGTGGTCTTACTATAAAAAAATTAAACTTGCTGTAGACAGGGGATAAATATATGTTTAGACGACTTTAAAATCGTGTCTAATGTCTGTTTATGTCTAAACAAAAGAATTTTTTATTAAAAAATAAGTAGGTAATACATAGCAAAATATATATTTTAGTTACAATATTTATATACCGTCTTAATAACTAATATAGTAAATGACTATTATTCAATATTTAACGTCGAAATGAAGAATCTGAACAATCGAAATTAATATAAATACTATGGGCGATATCGAAATGGATATGACCTTTTTCGTATGACCATCAATTCCCGGACAAACCCAATACGAGTATGGGAGCAGTATCATTATTACTCATGCCTAAATCTTTCTAAAATTATAAAAATGAAAGTGAATTTGTTTGTTATGTTATATGCTTTTACGGCATAACCGATCACTATGAAATTTAGTATACACGTACTATATGATAGAGAAGGACATAGGCTACTTTTATCTCAGTACGTCAACATATTCCGGTCACGCGGACGCACTCGCCGGTAAAAACTAGTTGTCGTTGTAGAGATTTCAGTACATAAAATTACAAATAATAATACACCGACTAAATAATATTTAATTATTTAGAGTTTTGTTGAACTTTGTTTAGACAGTACTCATATGTAAATTAATTTTGTGGTAAGACTAGAAAGTTCAATAGACATTACAGAATACACTATGATACTCGTCATGTGTATTTTGCCAAATTATTCATCCTATTTGTTTCGAATTTACTTCAATAGATTAACTTCATTGATGTGAAAAACTGTTGATTTTTATTATTCTTTATAACATACTTTAATTTTTTTCAGATCGTAAGATGTCTGGAAAATCTAAAGATGAACAAATGGCAGAGAAAAAGCAAGAGTTGGAAAAACGATTGCAAGATGTCTCTGGACAGTTAGGAACTAATAAAAAACAACAGCAGAAAAAAGGTAAGCTCTAGTTTTATTCTTGCATAACTGCTAATTCAAAAATATCTATGACATGCTAACCTCATTTATTCATAAAAACTGAAACCTAAAATCTACTTACTGACCAAACTATAGAACTGTTTTGTCACTTGCTTTCAAATTGGGAATTTAGCACAAAAGATAAAACAGATCAATAGTTAAAATAAGTTTGTGAGATGTTTGATTTTTCTTTTGTTGATAAAGGGGTACGCACGTTTAGTTCGGTTCGATATTGCAGTAGGCTATTAATAAGACAATATAAAAAATAATGTTTATTTAATGCCATCCGCATAGTTTAGGGGTTTAAAAGCTACGTGATCGATAACGACCTAAAATGTACGATGACGTAACATGGAAGTAAACAAGAAATGTGTCATTGAGGTTTCTTTGCATTCTTGGTAGCGATGCGCGAATCCGAATAATTATTTATTCTAATAATTACTAAAATTATTATTCGACTTCTAAATCACTGAAAACATAAGGCACACTACATTGAATTCTAATTCAAAATTGTAATTATAATCTATATAAAATCGAAATATTAACTCTAAGACTTGTTACATATATAAAAATATGTTTATATACATGTTTACATTATGATGATCTCCACAAAAGAAAACAGTTGAATCACATTCACTATAACATTAGGATTTGCATGAGCAAGTTGTAACCACTTTTTGCATATTATAATTTTTTTCAGCACAGTAACAAATACTTTTTCGGCATCTTTATAGTAGTATTTGTACATACTGGCACGACACACCATTTGTAAATTTTTCTTCCTAGAAAACCTTGTTAATTTTTACAATTAACTATAAATACTGATCACTCTTGTATGACACTAGATAATTGTTTACTTCCTACTTGACATCGCATATGGCACTGATGCAATATTGAACAAAAGTTGTGTTTCTGAGATCTTTTTTTATGTAATTTAGAACGGCAAACAAGTTGACAGCCTACCTGATGGAAAGTGGTAACCATCACCTATAGACATAAGAAGTACCATGGGCATAACAGAGTGTACTGCCCATGCATTGCCATTCCTAAGGACTCAGGTGTTATTCCTCTGTACCCTGTAAATTCACTGCCATATCCCACCCTTCAAACCAAAACACAGCCATGCAAATACAACTGCTTCACAGTAGAAATACGAATGGGACAGAGGTGCCGAAGCAAACGACTTTTGTACAAAGTCTCCTGGTATTTTTTGGGGGATCTATAAACACCACTAAATACTCTGAAATGATTTCCAAAAACTAATCAAATAACCTTTTATTGTAGAGATCTCTATCTTTTTTAAATATGTTGCCTATGTTACTCGCAATGATGTTATTTTCTACTAGTGAAAGAATACTTAAAATCGGTTAAGTATTTTTGAGTTTATTATAAACAAAATATCAAATTTTTTTCTCTTTATAAAATTAGTTCATAGTAACATTAAAATTTATATTAGTGATCTGTCGATTCATAGTAAAAATCTGTACTAATTGAACTCGTTTATTATGATTAACATTGTAGTTTTAGTTTAACAGAGCACTTTTTAAATAATCAGTAAGAAACATTAAAAAATGTTCAATTCTTTTTGAAAATTATATCAATTTCAATTTTACCACAATGCCATACGTCATTATGAAAGCTCTTAACCCAAATATTACATTTTTCCCTACAATTTTTCCAACATTTTTTTTTTTCATACAAGGTCAGTACGTCCTGACAAATACATTAAATTAGTTTTCATCTTGTGTATGTGTTCTGTGATATAATTCAATTTTATAACTGCTTTTTTTCTTTCATTATTTCCACTCAGGTGCCACTTACTTTATTTAATTCAACCTTTGGGGAGAAAGGTTGCCTGGAAAAGATTGTATTAGCGATAAGATTGCCTTTTGTATTTTCAACTGCTTTTTTTCTTTTTGTACTTTTATTTAATAGTATTGATGCAATGTTTCAATAAATAAATAAATTTAAGTAATGTGAGAAGGTAATCATTATTATGTACTGTTTATTTAGTTGTTTTAAATATATTCTTAAGAAATTTTAATACACTTGAATTGTATTTAGGATACCACATACATGAAGTTGAGTACTGTTAGTATAAACAATACACACAGTTAAGTATTATTTTGTTTTGATAACTTGAATTCCTTTTGTTCCCAGAAGGATGCAAGGACGGCTTGGGAGGTGGCATGTCTTCCTCATCGAGTTCGTCAGACTCGTCCAACTCGTCCTCAAGCACTGACACTAGCTCGTCAGACAGCAGTGACAGTGAAGCAGGTTAGATTATATTGCGGAAAATCTCGAAAGCCTCGTTAATTTTATTAATTAACAAAATATAGCATTCAGAGGTACCACCATGTACCATAGCTATTATGTAAATTGCAGTTTTACTATTAGATTTTAATGATAACATGCATTTAAATTAAGAGAAATTTCACTTGTATGGATGTTAGACTAAGGGGCGAATAGTAGTAAAATGCAGGCGATAGGAGGAAGAACGAACCCAAATCGCTCTAAATCGTTTTCAATGTCGCTCTTTGTCTTTTAGTCTGTATGTTCAAGATGCTTGAGATCTATATATTAGTATTAGGATTAAACGTTGCAATCGTAACGTTTCGGGATGTAGCTAGGAGTGATATATTACTTTTTTTTTACCTTAGCCAGTATTTGTATATGTATAGTATGATAAAATGTGAAATAATTTGGTTTTTATAACAATATTGGAAATGGCATAACACAATGCTGAAATACAGTTAATAAACTTTTATCTAGTCTGAAAATGTCAGCGATAGAATGAATGACGTGGATATTTGAATTGTTAAGAGTCTCTTTTTAGTAAATTATATGACAAAAAAAATATCAGTGAAGATATTGCTGTCATTTGATCTGTGAATGAGGGGTTGACAATACTTCCTAATCTTGATGGTTGGGACAATCCAACGTGTTTTATATATTTTTGTTTTATTGTACACTATTTACAATATCGAGACATCGAGAAAATCTTAACTTTTTAAAAATGCGACTGTTATTATGTTTTTTTTTTTTTTTATGCGTAAAACTGAATATCTAAAATATGTTGCAATATAAAATGGGACTGTAGTGAAAGAGAATGTTTCCTATTGTGAAGGTGAACGATTTGAACTGTTACATAAGCCTTATGGTTATTTAGGCATATGACTTTTAGAATGCAGTAATATGACACCCTTGCATGGGGGAGGTGAATTGTATACCAATTTATGCTCAGGGTTCTTTTGCACTTACCTCCCTCATACATTTGTGTTATTAAAAATGTATGAATGGGATTACTGTGGGTGGTAATATGGAGAATATTTTTACTGTGATAATGGGGAGGGATAACATCTAAAGTCATGATTCAATTATCATCAGAATCCAAAGTTCTTTATGCAATGTAAGAAAGTGTAGGTAAACGTGCAGAAAAGTTAGTAAGGAGGAGAAGCCAGCTTTGGTGTTCGCTGATATTTTGTTATGGTGGTGGTAAGAATAATTTTTTATTTGGTTTGCTTTTATAAACCAATAGGAAAATACCTTTTCATATTAATATTTTTTAACTATATCATGTCCTCAATGCGGTGTTATTTCATTTGCATCCTTAAAAGTATCGATATATTTATATAAAATATTATTGGAATCTTCAGATCTCATGGTACTAATTGCTTTTGAGTGTGAAATTTAAAACCAATATAATTTTTGATTGAGCTCGTCATAAGACGTGGAAACAATACTGATAACTTGAATATAGATAGTAGTGTCGGTACGTCAAGTGATAAGAAGAGAAGAGGATCCTCGAGACAGCTGACAAGCCGAGCACAGTCACATAGCGAGTAATGCAAACAATTGTGTAAGGATGGATACCAACTTGCAAGCAAAATTCATCATCAGCCCCTTGTTGGACTCTGCTCTTTTTGTTGCAACGAGGATGTATATTGTGACATGTTGTAGTTAAAAATCTTATTACTTTGAAAAGGTATGACTTTATTGGTTTAATGCTTGATACACTTCAATGCTTGCTCACAAGATTGATGTGACGTGTGATCAAAATTGTCTATACATTAATGATAAAAAGAAACTAAAGCTGGCCTCCTTCCTTCACCAATTGTTTGCAAAGTTGTAATTATTTGTTACTATTCAACAATATCGAGGATTACAAAATTTATACAACTTAATTAAAAAATAGTATGTAAATTGAAAACATGTCACGGGCGTGAGAGCCTCGAATGTGAACTGATAGACTGCTATAATAAAAATGTAAATTTAGTTATATGTCTCTGGCAGTTGATTGTGTATGTAAGTAATATTTATATAGTAATTTAAATAGCAAGTTCCAACTGGTGTAAAATTAACGATAGCCCACTCCTTGTATGTGAGAAAGGAGGAGTGTATTGGTGCCCTGCATAGTATTGTTTACAGGTGCTTCATAAATCATTGTGTAAAATATTTTTAACAATGTTTAATATTATTCTCAAAATTATATTTCTTTGCAAGATTTATAAACTGTCTAAAAATTGTCTAAGACATTGTTAAGACAATTTTTAGATATACAATATAAAAAATATATACTATTAACAACACCATGGCCATACATTAGTGATACATTTTAATTAGCTTAATTTGATAATATATTTATTTTTATTATCTATTAGTTGTAAAGTTTTCAAGGAAAAAACATAATATATAAAAATAACAATTATAGGTGTGTCTACCTATACAGCAACTGATAGGTAAATCGTGAACATTTCTTGTGTTCTAGAATAAAAATAAATATAGAAGTTGTAAACATAAAATCTGAAAATTTTCATTCTATATAATTTTTATTATTCGGTAATTTTAATGTACAGCATATTTTATTTTAGTAAATATATGGTATTTATTAAACAATGCGTTCGAATCCAGTAAGTTTGTTAGTAGAGCTTGACAAGAAAATATCGCTAAAATTTGTGCTGTATTTTATTATTATTATATAGAGGCCTAAAGATGAATTTCGTATATTAATTTTTCCGGGATAACATTATGTACTTATTTTAGCGAAAAACATCATAGTATTGCAAAGTGTTGGCCTTAATAGGGCTTTTATAGATTTATATCTCAATTTTTGTCATTTTTTATCTGCCCTCAATCAAATATATCCTGTGTTTTAAATATATTAGAGATTAAAAAAAATACAATTTTACATTCCTGACAAATTATTTTTTTTTTAGAAATACGCCCTTTTATTTTATCAAGTACAATTTTCCAATGGCCCAAAAGGTATTATCGTAAGTTAGCTTTTAATAACAATTATTTTATCTTAGAGTTCCTTACGACTGGAAATGAGGTTAGGAAATGAACAAATGAGTATATTGTATACTTACTAGTATTTTGCCAATAAAATAATGGAGATTATAATTGTCGACGATAAAAAGTTACATCATAATTTGCTTCTGTTGGATGGTATATGTATGTATGTCACGATAGATTGAACTTTGTTAAAATAGTATACACGATGTACAATTAGTTACTCGAACGCAACATTTAGTTGTAATGTTATAGTAGAAAAATTGCAAGTGTGTAAACAGGAACACCATGTGTAATAAATTTTTAAGTAAGATTTATTTAATCAACTCATGACTTAAATTGATTAGATAATAAGTGTGAATGGAAATAAACATTGTATATATTTCAGTATACTACAGAAATTTAAGTAAATCTTTTAAGTAATTTATATTGAATTTTATTTGTACTGCCCTGAGATCTGAAGTAAAAAAAACAAATTTTTATTTACGAATATAATTTAAAAGTTCGTTAATTATTTTATAAAAAAAAATCGCACTATTTTACATATATATTATATTTTAGTGAATTAATTTTATTTGTGGATATGATATGATTAAATATAGTGTTTATAAAGCTTTTTATCTATGAAAGGAATGAAACATACCAAATTTTAAAGTGGCGGATATCTTTAAAATTATTTTGCTAATATGTGGTTAATGAAAAACATAATTATATTTAAAGATATTCAATTATTTTATATCACTTATATATTTGGTCTTAGAATGATATAATTAAATTAATTCGCTATTATCATATTTCTATACAAACCATCAACATATCAGCGGACACTATTTTTTCATATTTAAAATTGTTGCTATATAACTAAAACGTTACATTAATGTAAACAGTTTTAAAAATTTGGATAAAAGAAGATATGGCACTGCTTTTCGTCAAGTTAAGTATTTGTAATACTAGTTCTAGTTTTAGTATTTAATGTTAAAAGTAGTAAATGTAGTTAGTTTTATAGGTAAGCATCTTTATTAAAACATGTTGTTTTATTATTAATTTTGTATTAATTTCAGGAACTGGCTCAGGAAGAACACCTAAGAAAAAACCCAAAAAACAAGCACATCAACATCCACCTCAAATTGTAAATATCAACTATTGATAAGGCATTGTTTTTATGTAGTCTGGAAAAGACCTTACTATGTCTCATTTATTTATGAATCTTACAGAAACCGATGCCGCCAGTCGCACCACCAGTATCGGCTGCGCCCGCAACCACCCCCTCCCCTGCTTCTGCCCCCGCACCTGTCGCATCCGCGAACCCCTCCGCGGCAATTGTCCCCGTTTCTGGACCTGCCGCTATTCCCACTGCCACGAAGGAGACTCCCACACCCGCACCTGCATCCGAAGTGAAGACGGAGCCGCCGGCGGCAGATGTTATGCCTCCTCACGTCGAGATGAAGCACATAGACCCTCCCGCGACACAAGCTTCGCTCATTGCACCTGCACCATCGCACTCTGTTAATAATGTACCAGAGTCCTCAGCTATACCCATTGCGAGAGACAGCGAGGAACAGAAACCTAGTTTGAAAATTGAGCCCCGAAATGGATTGGACAAAGTTGATTCTTCGCATTATATAGATCCTATAGAACGTTCATTAGCAAGTCTGGAGAGAAGCCTTAATGCGGACGTACCTATGGATGTCAGTGTGGGTGTTTCGGAGTCATCGATGCGCCTCGAGGATGAGTTTTCCTTACCGAAGTCACAGATATTGCCAGATGCTGCACATCACAATCTTATGGCACAGTTGGGGGGGCTGACTGACATTGGACATGTTCCCGAGCCTATTAAGAATGACATGTATGTTCCGCCCCATAATGGGTATGTAGAAAAAAATATGCAGCATGATAGGGAAATAATGAGACCCGACATAAATCCTGCTGTGCCAGGAATTACATCTGCTGCACCTGTATCGTCAATTTTTGATCCCATACCCCCGGCTCCACATACAGTGATAGCACAATCGCATCATAATATGCCTGGTGCTCCGAGTCTAATGACCCCAGCTATAAAAAAGGAAGACATCAAACCACTTCTTACTCCTAAACCTATTGAAGATCTCATGGGTGTCTCGAATATGGTTTCAAATAACATGTCCGATAGAGCTAAATACGAAATGGAGAAAAAAATGGAAGATTCTAAAAATTCTAATTTCGTTCAAGCTTTTAAATTGAAACAAGAACAAAATTTGAAAAATGCTAGCTCATGGTCATCTTTAGCACAAGCTGGTAGTCCACAAAGTATTCCAACTTTAGGAACGAATAATCAAATGAAACAGAAACCCGTCATGGATACTTTCCAAGTAAGTTTTTCACTTCTAGTCAATATTAAAATATACATGAAAGAATTGTTTATTGTTGAGTTGTAGTTTCGTTATAAAAATAAACTTAACAAATATTTCATCATGAATCATTTTAAGAGGATGCAAAAAAAAAAAAAAAACAAATAGTTAAATTGTTAAGTAGTTAGTCATTTTCAGTTACAAATTAATGGCTAAACCATTTAACTGAATTTAATTAAAACTTGATTAATTAATTTAATACTTTGAAATTGTATGCAAATAAAGTTGCAGGTTATCCTGTAACTAACACGTAATACGTTTTTCAGATACCATACATAAGTTTATAGTATATAATGCGAATTAAAATCGGCACTTGTTCCTCCATTAACAAGATCAATATTATATAATGTAAAAAATTACAGGCATTCAAGAAACAAGCTAGAGAAAAGATTGATCGTCAGAGAGCACTTATCGAACAGCAAGAATTACGAAAGAAAGAACAAGCTGAAAGAGAAAGACAGCGACAGGAAACAGAAAGGCGACAACCCGAAGATGATAAAATGAGGTAGTATAATTATAACGGTAATGTTTACGTTACATTATAAATGGGACTCAAATGATATCGATTTTATTTAATAGCTATGACTGCACTTTAGTCACGTAATAACTGTCATAAAAGTAGCCAATGCCCTTCGATATCCCAAATACTAATGTTTACCAAATTATTTCATTGGTCGTGCCGTAGACGCAAAGAGGTAACAAACAAATTCTATTTCATATTATATTAATAAGGTTAACCTTGTAAATATTTACATAGTATCTATATCCTAAAGTTTCAATATTTTATAGAACGGTTCAAGGGGTCCGGAAAGTAGAGAGTGCGGAGGTGGCGTCGCCGAGTGTGTCGCCGGTAGCACGTGCGTCGCCGCCCGCCGCCGCGGCCGCAGCCGCCGCTGCCGCCGCTGCTGCTGCCGCGCCTGACAAGCCGGCCGCCAGTGAGCGCGAGAGGCTGCGTCAGCGGGAACAGGAACGACGTCGTCGGGAAGCAGTGAGTTAATATTTACATATATCAGCGATAAGTCGGGATTCATTCTTAAATATATAATGTTATATTAATTAATTAATTTTAATTACAACTCAAATACTCTGATCACAGTTTTAGTATCTCGTGTCTAACATCTGTGTTTGGAATTGTGGTTACATAAATAAAGAAGTAAACCTTATATTAATGTATTTGTTTATTTTTTTCTTACATTCTTGTGTGGATTGCAAGATAAAACATACCAAATTTTAAATTAGACCTTTAGAAAACAACTATGAAAATCGAATTCAATTTTGTATAGTAGTCAGACAAAATTTTATAATAAAGAATCATTGTTTAATTTTTTATTTTCAGATGGCCGGCCAGATTGACATGAACTTGCAGAGTGACTTGATGGCGGCATTTGAAGAATCATTGTAATGTGTTTAAAAACAATATTATAAATGTACATATAAATATGTAATTTTAATTAGTATATATATATGGTGAAATGTGACACCAAAGTGATTTTGTGTGTGAAACGTTGACTAATATGTGGTTAAGTGCTGTGAATAGATATTTTAAATTAAACTGTTATACAATCACTTTGACTTTACGCTCGTACTGAGCTTTTACTTGAGGGTTGCATTTGAAATAATGTGTACTATATAAGTTTGTAAGTTTAAACAACTCTCTTTACATACATAAATATATATATTTTGTTCTAAAAACAACTACCTTCCATAATTGTTTTATAGTATGTACTAATGACTAGAATGGTAGTAATTGAAATTGAAGAATAAATCAAAATATACTTTATTTTATCTAATTGATAGACAATCGGAAAACCATGAAATCTGTTACTTCCTACACATTTCCTCATTGCACGAGTAAATTTTATGTATACTCCAGAAATGGCATTTTATATTTTGTCACTGTTTTTATTAAGACAATATTAATTTTGCCACACAATAGTGTCGTGGACTTGTATGCAGTGATTAAATGTGTAGGCTATTATGTATTTATTAGTCGTGGAGTTTCTGTTACGTATTCGATTTTCGATAAATATTGCTTAATGTTAGTAGATTTTTTATCAGTCTGTCATTTGAAGCAGATCAAATGTCATACATTTGATTTGAAATATATTTATTTTACATTGGAATATGTCTTTTTATGTTTGTAGATAGATAAAATCAGTAAAAAATGTAGTGCAGTTACATCCAAATTCTGCATACTGTAAAAAGTATGAAGATTAAGATAGAAATGATTACCATCCCTATACAAATTGTATATTATTAAGCAAATTTTAATTTCAGTCATTTACTCATCTAAATCAAATGTAGATATGAACTAAAATATATTGACATTCCATAATGTAATTTGTTGTTTAAATTAATATTCGTTAATGTCCCACTCAACTATTGTCATTCAGACAATAGTTGAATGGGATAATGTAAGAAATTTTAGCAATTAAAGTTTGTTATACGAGGGTCAAACTGAAAGTCCTTAGAAAATCAAAAACTGATTAAATTAGCAAGTTTTTACTTTTATTTTATCTTTTCAAAATAGTGTCCGTTCACATCAATACATTGCTGTATCCGATAGAACCACTGAGAAAAGCACTTTGCCAAATCTTCGTCCTTAGGGATCTCTTCGATGGCCTTCTGAAACGTAGCCACGGCTTCCTCGGCGTCCCTAAAACGTTTTCCTCGAAGTTTTTCTTTTATTTTTCGGAAAAAATAAAACTCGCAAGGTGCGATATCGGGGATATAAGGCGGATGACCCAGTAGTTCTACGTCTGAGGTTACCAAATAATCGATCGTTTTCCTGGCGGTGTGCGACGAAGCATTGTTGTGGTGAAGGAGGATCCAACTGTGAGGTCGTTTCTCACGCATTTTTTCCAAAACACGTGGCAAACAATTGTTACTGTACCACTTTGCAGTAACTGTTTTTCGCTCCTCTAAATTAATTGTCGCGTAATGACCTGTCCTTCCAAAGAATGAGGCCACCATCTTTTTTTCCCACGCTTCGACCTCTTTTCACTTTAGTTGGCAACGCCTCGGAAGGAAACACCCACTGAAGTGACTGTCTTTTAATTTCAGGATCGTAACAGTAAATCCAGCTTTCGTTTCCCGTAACTATGTCAAACACAGAATTTGAGTCACCTCCGTTAACTCTTTCATGCATTTCACGGCACCAATCAACACGACGGGAGTTTTTGAGCCTCGGTCATATTATGAGGTATCCACCGGGCACAAAGCTTCCTGACCGGCAAATGTTCATAGAGGATTTTGTGCACTTGATTCATACCAATCCCTAAGCTTGCCCGGATCTGCTGATAGGTCACTCTTTTGTCAGTCTCTATCATACGCCGCACAACACTGATGTTATCTTCAGTCGTCGCCGTAGAAGGCCGTCCCTCACGCACATCATCGGTGAGATTAGTGCAATCACGTTTAAACTCATTAAACAAGTTGTAAACAGTGGCACGAGACGGAGTTTCATCGTGAAAGGCCAATCGTAGTCTATCATAACTTACTTGTTGACTTAGATGACACCGAAAGTCATAAAAAATCATCGCATGAAAATTTTCTCGTGTTTAGTTCATGATAACGTTAGACAGACTATTTTCAATTTGCCGCCAAACCGTAAAACAAATGACAAATGAATAAATTATTTACTCAGTATTTCATAAAGAGTTCCATTTTCAAAATTTTAACAATTTTTTTATTATATTGCTTTGAAGTACTAAAAATTTGCAGTGTAGCCCTCGTATATACTACTAAGTGAAAACATATCCACCCGATATGCCTACGTTTCGGTATACATATTAGAATCCAACGTGGCACAGAGTGAGCCTACCACCGTTATTCAGATTGTTTTATTAGTGGTATTAGATGGAAAATTAAATTGACACACAAAATTCTTAAAAAAAAAAAATTGAAAATTGAGATATTAATCCGTAAAAACAGAAACATCAATCGTCGCAAAATCTATAAGAAATCAATACTATAGTAAACTCTCGATTACAAAAAGAATATCAAAATGGGTTCTAAACTAGCAAAAGTAACAATAAATAAAACTGGGCATATTATACAGGGCCATTTAGTTCCAAACCAAACAGAGTTTGTACTTTACATTCCGTATTGCGTTATATTACATCTATGTTTGTACTATAAGTCATGAATTCAAGTGTTTGTATCTTAGGTTTGTATTGTGCGGGGATCGTACCCGCGACCAATCGAAGTTAAAGCGGTGTGTTAAGTTGCTACACCACCAAAGACAAACAGATGCTGCTGAATTAAAAAATAAATCGCTTTTAAGTTACTAGCGTCTGCTGTTAAGTTAAATGTTTCGCTGGGAGATTTAACAGGCCGCAGAAATTTGTAACACAGCCAAATGAACAGTATAGACCGAAGACTTGTGTAAAGTAGTAATAAATGGATCTTTCACGTTAGAATAAGTGTTGAAGAAGAAATTTTATCGTATGGCGACCTGCATTAGCAAACGTAGTATACAGCCGAGTAGCTACGGAAGTTTCAGGAAATAGTAGTACGAACGAAAGAGAAGTAGTTTCAGGAAGTAGTAATAGGAACGGGTGTGGTGACCCAGAATTATTCGTTGTTATAGATTATGGCTGTACCGGTCAAAAGTCTCTCCTTTTACAGCCGAAAAACGTTCCCCCATGGTGACCTATTTTTTCGTTGTCGGAGGCGCCATAAAAATTCTGTTTAGAGGCAGTAGACTTATTTACGCATCTTGGTTTACACGAGCAGTGTACCAGTAATAGTGGTAGATAAAGATTATATAGATATTACTATTTTATATATTACATATAAATAGTGTTATAACCTGATTGGATATATTGTAAGCATTGGGATCACATGTTCCCGTTACAATTTCCTCTATCACGCTGATCGAATGTTTTATTGGATTTTCTTCGAGTTTCCTTCTCTTTCATACATAGGTTTACCTTTTCATCAGTGGGAAGAACATACATGGAATTAATCGGGAGCTAAATAAAAGATAATATGGTAATTTTCTTTGTTTAAGTTTGAAAACAGGGTTTACTTTTATAAATAAAATGAGTGTTTTTTGCGCAAGTAAAACGGTAAAATAAAATTTTATAGGTATAGTTTTTAGTTGTAAGTGCACAAGTGGTCTTACCCTGTATTGTAAATATTGCGTTTACATATAAATTTTGCTCTGAGTCCCTAAGACGTGTAGTTATAAAAAAGGGAGATAATCTTTTTTTTTTATACGACTTAGAATGGCAAACAAGCTGACCGCCCACCTGATGGAAAGTGGTAACCGTCGCCTATAGACATGAGCAGTACCATGGACATAACAGAGTATACTGTTTCGCCCATGATACCCCCCATGCGTTGCCATTCCTGAGGACTCGGGTGGTATTCCTCTGTACCCTGTAAATTCACGCCAAATCTATGCAAATAAAAAAAAAAGATACATCAAAATGTAGACGTCATGCAAATATGGAAAAAATACCGGATCTGGTTGCTTTGTCTAAGGTAATGCTTCGTATCTCTTGGAGCCAGGCTTGGACAATGATTAGTCAGACCAAAGGATGTTATTATTTTGTAATTCAGCCGTGTATACCCACAAAACCATGGTTTTCTAAATTACATTTTAGTAAAATTGTCTCCCACTACATTGTCTTGTATGCGTATTGGTCATGAGTGTACTCCTGCTCATTTAGCTAAACTTCATATAGTCCAGAATATTTGTGAATGTGGTAAAGATGTGGGCGATTTAATATATTTTCTTTTCCTGCTTCTTATACAATCCTCACTCATTCTCTCATTTCATTAAAAAATTCTTTTCCTACACTCATTTCATGCTTGTCAGCTCATTCTGACCCTTTCATTTGCTAACTAACATCTGCTGCTATATAACTGCTTAATATCCTTTATTTCTCATAATAATATCAAACTATAATTATTACTAATACCATAAAAAATCTTTACCGTTCCTTTATCTCGTCTTGTTTCTTGTTTGTTGGTGGCATAATGGGCAACATCAGCCCCTTGCTATAAAAAAAATAGCCACCAACATACTCTGCGTTTTTTGCAAATTTTATTGCTAGCAGCTCTATTATTTAATGCTCCATTTCAAATTTCTAAATCTAAAACACCGCTGCAAAATTACGCAGATTCTTCCTTTACCCTTTCGACATCGGACGACCCGACGGGGTGAGAGCCTCCACCCTTACCTTGTAGAGATACCATTTATAAATACGAAGCGCTTGGCGTCTTCCTTCATCATGCGAACGGCCAAGGAGTGGAACTTTTCTTCTGGTTGTTTTCCATTCAAATATAATCTGTACCAATTTAATTAATTTAAGGTAAATGCGAATAGGCTATTCGTGAGCCCGCGAGTTCTATCTTAGACCATATTGTCGTTTTCCATCAGGTGAGATCATGATTAATCGCGGAGCCTCATAATAGTAAATAAAAGTTCTATCCATATCCATAGAACACAAGTAAAATAACTTAAACTTTATGTGAGAATTTTTAATAAGAGCAAGAGAATTCAAAAGATTTTCCAAAATCCTTGTGTTCGAAGTTACGGATAAAAAGCTAGTAAACGATGTAAATAGTCACGTATGGCGGATCTTTATGTTTAGCATGTGCATCGTGATCTGCTGGCAGTGGCGGCGTTAGGCGTCGGCGACTGCTGACGGCTTCGCGCTTGAGGGGGCCTCGCAAAGTTTTTAATTATTTAAAATTTAGTTATTCATTTTTATTTATTTTCATACAGTTGCGCGAGTAGAGTGATTAGTACTTTACGGGCATTATCCACAATCCTCTGGCAACACTACGCAAACTAAACAACTTAGCGCGCGAGACGGGAATCCCGTGTCCTTTAAATATATTTATTTCTTCTGTGAGCATAACGTAAAAAATAATTTCTTTTGTGAATGCAACACTCGCAGATTAGACTCGCATGGACAAAATTTCTTTTTATTTTGTTGTAAAGTGAGTCAGTACCTCGGTGGTGTTTTAGTTAATTTCTATTTGTGTAATTTTTGTCATCATTTGATTAGCAATAAATCTCGTTAACTCATACATTAGTTTAACTATAATTCGGGTTATGTAATTTAACGTTTTCTTGACTAGGAAAAAAAGGAGGCCTCGCGAACCCTAATTTTGCCGACGTTCACGTGTGGTCTAGCGCCGCCACCGTCTGCTGGTGTCAGAATGAAATGTGTCCGTAGTCATAATGAAACTTGAGTGACATTGATAGTATTCATAAAGAGCTTTTTAGGGTTCTGTACTAATATGTAATATTTTGTAAATAAACTTAAGAACATATTCTTATTTAAAAGGCCGGTAGCACACTTGCAGTTCTTCTAGTGTTGTGGATACTCATAAGCCGCATGCTGGTATTCAAAATTGCAGAATTAGCCTACTAAATCAAGTGAGGATCATATGAAAAAGCTTTTTATGCTGCAGTTTTTGGTCTATGATAAAAAATGTAAAAAGGTTCCCCTTTTATTTTCCAAATTTGACGTAAAATAATAACACTTTGAAAAGGTATACGTTGTAAATATTTTTATTTCAGCCGTTAACTGTCCACTGCTAAACATTAGCCTACCCCATAAGGTGAGTTTTGTCAGTAGTTGCCATGCTTGGCACGCGGGTTGGCAACCGCAGTTAGGCTTTTACATGTTTTAAGAGGGGTGTTGGTGCCAATCCCTCTACTGTATGTTCCCTTAGTCACACACGAGAAAGGAAGGGGTGGTCGATTCTATGCTGGGACCTACACGTTGTAAATGCTAGAGTAAAAATAAAATTGTTTCGTAACTAGCAGAATTTTTAAGTAATTATCAAAAAACCTTCACCATGTGCTACGATTGCATTTTTAACTAGAGTTACAGACCAAAAAGAAATTCCGAACTGCAGTAACAATTCTGGTTTGTTTAAGACATAAACACATTTACACATAAGGTATCTCATATTTATACATTTATCTAAAGCAAACAGAAACCCATTGTACATTAAATAAAGTACGTAACTTTCCGAGTATGAGTCGAATTCATATTTGACCAGTTTCATTTCAAATTCTGTTAAATCATTTCATTAGAAATTACTTTTTGCCATTGGTCAAAGGTATTTTGTTCATAAAATTCCCATTTATCCTGGGGGAGTTAGACAATCAACCACAGGAAACTTAATTTCTAAATTCTATTACAAGACAAAATTCATGGATTTGCTAGGTGGGTACAAGGAGTCTTAGGTAGCCAGTGCACAGCCTTATTCCATTTAAGTTATGCCCATGATTATATCTTATAGGTAACAATGAAACTACTGACTCAAATTGGAATAATAATATATATCACATTCCTCAATCTTACTGTACAACTAAATTAGACTACAGACAAGCACTTATAATATATTATAAGAATAATATGTATATTTTAAATAAATTCATGAAATGTCGGTCAAAGAGTACACTAGGCGCTGGAATCCCACTCAATGAGATAGGCGGGCGGTGCGGCGGGTGACAAGCGGCGCGCGAGTATGCGGAACGTCTGGCCGGCGCGGAAGTACGACTGCACGCTCGACTTGAGTGCCGACAGCTGCTGAGCGTCCACCTCCGCGGCTACATTGTTCGCTTTGTGCGGACTCAGTTGCAGGCTCTTTACGCTATTATTATTACTAGTACTATTGTTTGTATTCCTTCGCGCATTTTCATAGTAATTTTTCTCTTGTCTCTGTCTCAGTCTTCTACCGTGAAATTTCACGTTGTTGTTGTGTGCATTCTGTTGTCCTACCAATGCATTATCGCCTTGCATTGGGGCAGCTTTGTGTGTCTCATCAGGCAGTGGGCATGATTTATTTAACTGAAAATAAAAAAAAAAATTACAATATTATTATATATATATATTATATTGTGATATTTTCCTGGGGACTTACTTTTTTCAATGAAAATAATTTTTAATATGATTTATTTTATAACATTGTTTTAAATTACCTGCTTCCAGCAATAAAGTCATATATAAAAAAATAAATGCAAAAGGCATTGAATAATAACAGAAGTATTATTTTTACTTCGACGTTAGCTGAAATTGGCGTATCAGTTAAATGGCCAGTTTCATTTTTCGAGATTTACTCATCGTCGGAGTTGCAAAGTCTCTATTTTTGGTTAGTTTCAGATATGTAGCGGCCTTCAATTCACATGGAACTTGTACATTGATTAGAACCCTGTTTATTTATTTTGAATAGTCTAACATTAACAATATTATATATTATTACAAACTAACATGAATAGAATTAAAATTAAAACATACCTGCATTTGTAAATACTTTCTTGGTCTTCTATATTTTCTTCTTTTTACTTCTCCATTAGGACCTATTATTATATCTTTTTCACTTAATTTTCGTTTAAGTGGTCTTACTATGGGCCCCATCAGTGGGTTTAATTGAACTGGCAAAGAAAACCTAGTATGGAAATTATTTTGTTTACCATTATGTTTACTTTGTTTTTTATACAAATTTGCATTTGTCATTGTTTTTGTTGTATTTTGCATTAAAAATGGGTTGTTTTTACCTTGGAAATCTTTTAGTGGTGGAATAATGGCATCAAGTGTACCTCTACTAGAAGTTTCATCACCTGAGGACTCAATGTCATGGCTAAAGTTATTACTATATGGAATTAAACTATCCATGTGCTGAAGTGACATTATTTTGGAATGTTCAATAATGTTTTTGGTAGATAATTTAGATATTTCTAAGTTCATTGTGGCTATTCTAGTGGAGTGTGTATTTATATTGATGTTGCTAGCATTACTTTTGTTAACATCAATTATATCTGTATTCGTTTTGGAAATTTTGTCTAATTTCACTGAGCATGGAACTAAGGATGCATTGAGAGATGGCACTAATGAGTTTTCACAACTTGGCTTCGCTTCATTTGACTCAATTTCATTTAGCACAGGTATTTTTTCTAAATTATCATCTTTGGCATCAGACTTTCTAGCGGTAGATGTACAAATTGTAGAAGAGCGTTGCTCTGTGTCAGTAGGTTTTACAGACTCATAGGAACTAGTTGAATCATTTTCGGAATTGGAATTAGAGTTAAGATTTTCATGAAAACGTTTCCCCATCATCAAATTCAACCAGTGACCGTCTACTGGTACAATCATATGCTGATTATGAGTTTTATAGGAACTTTTTTCACTGTTGCTACTTGATGGTTGTGAACTGTAAAATAAAAAAAAAAACAAAAAGATTTAGAAATTGTGGAAATTTTATTATAAAATAACTTCTCCTGTCCTTTAGTAGATCTGAATGAAAACTAAATCGGTTTTTACTAAACATTTAGCCTGCGTACTATGAAAACATTTAAATATTTTTAAAGTACTGTTAAACGCGAAAAGAATATCAAGCGGTATTGAACCCTTAAGTCTTAGGAGAGATTTTGCCTCACTCTGTGTTTTCTACCGCTTGTACAATGGATTGTGTCCAGAGGAATTGTTCAATACGATGCCCGGTTACTTTCTACCATCGTACGGCTCGTCATCGACAGGGAGTTCATCCTCATGTCCTACAGCCTCAATGGTCGCGTACAGCGCGGTTTCAGAGATGTTTCCTTCCACGAACACTTAGGTTATGACATGAGCGCGAGCTCATTCCATAACCTGAGTGTTATGCTGAGTCCCTGCTGAGTCCTAGCTCGGCAGGCATGCCGAGGTTTTCCCAAGAGCCTACAGCACGGGGTTCTTCAAAAGGGCGGTAAAGAGGTTTCTTTGGCAACGCACGCGTAACACCTCTGGTATTGCAAGTATTCTACGTAGGTAGGTTACGGTAACCACTTACCATCAGGTGGGCCGTATGCTTGTTTGCCATCTCAATGGTATAAAATAATACAATATTTGTTGTAACAACCAATTACTAGGATCTATTACTTATAATATAAAATAGTACATCGATTTAATGGCAACTGCATATATTTTGTATGAAAATTTTTTTACATTAAATAAGTGTTGATCTCTGTCTTAAACAAGTCAAACGAATTTATCAACTGATATGATATCGTTACAGCACGCACGTAAGTCAGTACGAGACGGGAACATTGCCATTTTATTATTTTTCATAGATGGGAGTAATGATAAGGTAGTAATAGATTCTTTTGTCACTTATTTAGGGGAGCTGGTTAATTTTCTGTTGAGTTTTTTATGCAACTTAGAATGGCAAATAAAGACATGAACAGAAACATGGACATAACAGAGTGTATTGATCGCCCTTCATAGATTGCGATTCCAGTCTATAAGATTGAGAAAAATACTGTAATGCTCTTTTTATATTATAGAGGGGATATGATACGGAAGAAAGTATGATGAACGTGACATTGAATTTATAGGTATACTGGTCACCGGACCCAACATGTGTTACACCTGGCACTTTCTTCAATTTTAAGGATCTTAAATTATAGTTAGACTCGACATCGTTTTTTTATAACAGCGCAAAAATTATTGAACAAATCTCGTGTTACGTATATAAGATTTTTCAAAGTTGTCTTAATCTCATGATAAAATAAAACTACATAGTAAACTATCTGCATAGTAAACTATGCAGTTTTATTTTATCGTAACGTAAGATACGATCACTTAAAAAGTGAGTAGTTGGATCTTTTGCGATTGTAATTTAGAAATTATATTAAACAAAGTATAAATAATAAACAATTAGTTGCAACCATATTACCTGTCGTCTATAAATGATTGTATTTGTGGTGACGGCGCTCGTGGTAAAAAGCGAAGTCTGGGAGCATATTCCTTTACTAATTCATCAGTCAATGGCTCTCCTTTTTTTACCTGTTAAAATTCATTACAAATTTTACATACAATATTAAAAAGAATCATATTAATAGGGTGAAAAATATAGAGCCGATGCTGGAGATAGTTGGCAGCTGGTGGAATATGAAATTCACTTTTATAAGTGAGTGATGGTAACGGCTTTTCGTCTGTAATATAAAATGATAGCTTCAGTAATAGAACTTTGCAAATTTATTGACTTTCTGTAAATCGGCATGGAATAAACCCAATTTAGTTTTTTAAAACAACAGTTATAATTATCAAATAGATACCGTGCCATGAATAATCGCTTTATGTCATACTAGCGGCCCGTCCCAACATCGCACGGGCGGACATTTTTACATTTTACATTTTTATCTGATCCTACCTAGCTACCTATTTCATAGATGTGCCCACCCCCACCTGCCCCTCTGCCGCACCGCTACAATGCCTGGCTAGCTGGTCACGCGGCCGACACGGTGCGGGCGGCGGACCTTTTTGATAACTGTCTTTTTAACATAATATCATCTTTCGAATGGAATATACCTACGATTTGAAAAATTCAAAAGTAATCTGCAGGTATTGAAACTATTTTGATTACAAAATAATTTATTTAGATAAGGATTAATAAATAGGTATGAATAACATGTACAACGCGACAGCGTTATTTTTTCTGTTTCTTATTTTTTTTTTGTTTTTTAAGATATAAAGAAAAAAGTGAAAACGTGGACAAATTAAAGAAATATATAAAACAAAAATATGAAGTTGTAATTCACTATTTGTGTTGTAATTTCTTGATGGAATGTCATTATATCGATTATATTATGTGTTATCTAGTGAAACTAAGTACAAGGTTTTCAATAGCATCATACAATGGATGACAAAAGATAAAAAAAAAACACCTGTTCTAAAGCTGATAATTGCATTGGTTGAGGCGGTGGGCGCCGTAAGCGTAAACCCCAAATCGTGGCGCGCTTTTTCATCTCACGACCGCATTTAAAACGCTTCCGTGACGATGTTAAAGCTGTAAGAATTTTCTCACGTCGCTCGTTTACGGGCGTTCGCCACATCTGTAAACGTATTTTAAAAATAAATCAAAATTCAGTAAATACACTGCATGGACCACTAAATGTACACTGATTCTATTAATTTATAATATTTTGTGAAATTAAATTCATTATTTGTTGACATATTTTTTTTCGTTCATTCATTTCTTTATCGTTTAATTTTTAATTTTTTATTAAAAAAAAATTATATATATGAATGTAAAAAGGTTTGCTATGAAAACGCACGATTTAATGGGTTAGATTCCAGTAAATAAGGTGGTAAGGCCATGAACATGACTCAGATCAATATAATTAGAATGTTGATTTGTATTAAACAATTTAATTTTATTTGAAATTGATTATAAATATTGCACTATGGATAGCGCATGAATAAAAAATAAACCCATTTTTCCTATGCAACAAGGTCAAGTTACAAAATAAATGTCTTACCTTTTCAGGTAATTGCAGCGCATGCCAGTTATCCATTATATATGGCATTATAACGTTATCTAAATCAAAGTAATTGGGTGCGTTATAAGCTGTCAAATTGTACAGTGCTAAGTGAGCCAAGTCTAACCAACAAAGCTCCAACCGTCTTAAATATTCCATTCCACCGTTACAATTAGCGCAAGCGAATATGTATAATCTGAAATTAAAAGTAGAATGTCATGTGATGTCGAAAAGGAATTTCATAGTTTACTAATTAATTGATGCTCACTTGTCACCAGCGTATAAAGGGTACTGTAAGCTTGATACGCATCTTTGGTGGAACCAACGGGAACATCGGCAGCATAGCAACATCTGTTGAATAATAATCAATTTATTAATAACTGGTAGTGTTTGCGACTTATTTTACATCACTAGAATACAAAAGTTACTAGGAAGAGTAGTCATTTTCTTTTTCCACATTAAATATTACATATACTAAATAAATTAATGAAAGTTATAGAAATTATAGTATACTTTTATACATTAAAGAAGTAAAGATTATTATGAAATAAGATTGAAATAGTAGTACAGTGATAGTAATATTTATATAAATGTATATTGTATTTGCAGCAGTTTTAAATTATGTATGTATAAAATATTGATAATTTGTTTCAGAATAAACTTTAATTCAGAAGATAAATTAGGCATTGATAAATCATTCATCTACACTTTGATATGCAATCAAAGCAAATATTATAGTAACTAGATACATAACGCATTGTTCAATATCTCCTGACCTGTGCAAGGTAATCACTTTTTTCACCACAATAACAGTGGGTTTCATTTTGATCTTTCCCTGCTTCTGATGCGGTTGAAGATGTGGTGGATGCAGTCTGTAAAAAGTAATAAAATTGTTTTATAATTGAGAACTAAGAACAATATTTTATTTATTGGAACGGTTTTAGACCCACATCACATGGTGGAGTTAGTTCCTGCTGCTGTCGCCTTTGTTGGCCTCCCTTAAATCTGAACAAATCTGATCTCTTTAAAGCTCTGTTTTCTGCTGCAGCTACTCTGTACCTTTGGTCGACGCATCTTTTACAATTCCACGATGCCCCTGAATAAAAGTGCATAACATTTAATTAAAATTGTTATTGTAATAAATTGAGAATCTTTAAATAAAAAAATTATTAAACATTGTAACAACTGTATTATAGTAAATATATATGTATCTATTGCCGACAGTCTGTATAATTTAGGTATTCCAGGCAATGTATGAAATATCTTATTAATCTTGTTATTATTATAAGTGTGAAAGTTTGTAATGATGGATGCATGTTTGTTACTTTCATGCAAAAATAATTGAATGGATTTGAATGAGATTTTGTACACAAGTAGGTTACATCCTCTTTTAGTACATAGGATACTTTATGTATTGATTCACGCAGGCAAAGTTGCGAGATATATCTAATCATAAATATTAATGTCTATTTTATTTAGGTCATCATCTTCCTGCTCTTACTCTAATTAAATGGGGTCGCCGTAATATGATTTTATTCATATTATAATTTATTTATTTATTTAGGTTTACCAATAATTGTTTCCACAAAATAATGTAAATATATATACAATTATGGAGCTTAGAACTAAGTGTAACAATTTTTTATAGGCAAACAGCATATATTGATACATGTATAACAATAAGTATAGAGAAATATATATATATAGCTTACATCTATTATTAAATACTTAACAACTAACAACTAAAGCCACCATATCCATAAGCAGATCCAGCAGCACGACTCATTTTATATATTTATAGATATTTCCTACAAAAACAATTGGAGTATCAAAATTAATATCGACCTGGTCACTGCAGCTGTTTATAATTTTACAGAACCTTACTATTGGAGAATTACTACCCAGAACAGTTCTTCTAAATGGATCTAATAATGGTAATATTATATTAATGTAATAGTCAGTGGGTTAAGGTGACTCTGATGAATTGATAAATTTAACATATACACAAATAACAAATCTAAAACATACATTTTCTATGAGGCTGGCATAGTCACTTAGGTGTATTGAAGCCTCAACAAAAATTTTAATAAAAACATTACTACACAAGGATTTGGCTTTTGGTTTTACTACCAGTCGCCTGCCTGTCGGCGACCCTTAGGAAATACTTTGTATAGGTAAAGTATGGAATACCAGAGATTGTTCTATACAATAGATGGTTAATAGCTGATATGATGATGATGATATCTACTTTTTATCACTAAACATGAATTTACAAAGTATATTATAGGCAGTAGCATAGTTGCCATAGTAACTTTTTATCATTAGACAGGTCACTGTAGCTACAAAGTTGTGATATAAAAAAAAAAAATTGTTAATACCGTTTATCCATGATTCGACTGGTGGCGAGTGGCACTTCGCGTGATATCCACGACCGCACATATCACACGCAATTATTGCGTTAATGGCGGGACTTGCAGCGGGACCTTCGCGACGCTTGCATACCACGCACATGATACGACCGTCATCCGCGGGCGGCGCAATAAGCAGTTTGAGCGTCGACACCGGCGCCCAGGAATGCGTGCCGTCTCCGAACTTGACGAGGCACCTCGCGACCCCAGTACCCACTTCACACGAGTCATTGTCATTGCTTGTGCTCAACTCGACTATAGTTCCTGCAGTCAAGTATGCTATCGTTATTTATGAACAATTATTTGTTGATCAGATATTAAATGATTGCAAATATTGAAGTGATTTATGGTTTTACTCCTACATTTATTCATTTATTATAAGAGCAAGTTAACTATTGTTGAAATAATACTGATATACATATGATATACATATAAATGATTATTCTTTATTACTTTTACAGAATTTTAGCAATGACGACTGTAGGGAATTAAAATGCATAAAAATTATAATTCACATATATCACAATGTATAGTTATATAAATTTTCTACAAACCTAAATAATATCTCCCATCTTTATTTGGTACGAGTACATCATCCCCACAATGGAATGGATTGGCATTGTTTTTCTCCGTGTTGGTTGTAGAGTCTGGCATGGCATTCTGTATTTCTTCTTCTTTTTTCTCATTCTTTTTGTTAGCACATGGTGTGATTGTTTTGTCAAGGTCGCTCAGAAGTACATCGAGTAGTGATTGAGTTGAGACCTCTATAGACAATCATATATTTTTAGTTACAAAATTTAAAAAATAATATATTGTACATATTGGTATATAGAATATTTTCGAGTTATTATTTAAGCAATTTTATATAGAAGAACATAATAATGTTATGTTTATTCTCTAAAATAAAATGTGTAAAATTTATTTTACAATTATTATAAATAATCGTAAAATAGAGGACTAATGAAAATGTTTAATAAGTATTTGAATATTTGAATTTGGAAATGGCTATTTAGAATTTTTTAAATTTGGATGTTGAAATATATAATAAAAAGCAGTCATTATAAAAAATAGATACTTTTAATATAGATATTAGGGTACAATGACTATTTATGAAAATGGACTAGGTTTTTTTTTATATTTATTTTATATAGTTAAATAATTATAAATACTGATTTGTTACTGAATTATAAAGACAAAATTTCTAATTAGCGTAAGCCAGTGGACTTGCTAACTTGTGTGTGTTATGTAATGCAATTCTATGTTGAAGACTATACCTTGTTTGAAATATGGAGTTTATGCTGTGGGCAGCAGATAGGTACAAATGATATAATCAAGTACTTCATCTAATTCTAAATAAGGCATTTCATAACAGTACCAATTTTATAAAGTAAGGAAAGGTTTTATCATAAGCTTTTTAAAAGGAAGCTGCAACAATTTCAGTTATAACACACACACAAACAGATATATATATATATATAAAAAGTACATAAGCATATTTTTTAACCCTTAAAAACCAGATTTTTTAAATCAAATTAAAAAATATATAAGTGTACCCTCTATTGTGTTTACTAATGGGGAAAAATAGTAAAAAAATCAAAACAATATTTTTATATAATTATTTTGAAAAAAAAAAAAAAAAACATTTGGTAATATGTAAACAGCCAAATGTTAAAATAAAATCGATTATAGGCGCCCAATGTGATTTATAACTCCGGTATCAAATTTGAAACTTCAGGTATTTAAGGGTTAAGGGTACTGGCTGGTATATATATATATATATATATACATACATATGGTATGTGCAAATGCTTCTATATATATATAGGGATGTTTAAAGGATGGTAACACAATGCAATGTATTCAGTATATACAATTTCATATTTAATTTAAAGTAATAATAATTTTCCCAATACCTGCTTAAGAACATTTTATAAGTTTAACTAACACTATTGCAAATCAAGATCTTATTTTTGTTTTCTTTATTTACAATGACAAAAATCTATTATCTACTCATGTCTAAAATTTTTTAAATCAATATGTTGTATTTTTTCATACTTACTTGTAAAGAATAATCCAGTATTATGATAGCAAATTTGACAAAAAAGATAATAAATTTAGTCAATGACTACAATAACAAAAATATTAAAAGAGAACATAATTATTAGAAATAGACACAGGTCATTACTATGTAAATTTAGATTTAAAATAATGTTCTTAAAAAAATAAATCAATATTATCCAGTTTTAATGTTTTTTTTTTTTTTTTTTTTTTGTAATACCAGACAAGATGTTAAATAAAAGATGTAGATATTATTCACTATGGATTAATTAGATCAAAATCGTCTTTGGAGACTATTTGTTGAAAGAAGATTAATTTTAAAGTAACCCTGCTTGTAAGAATTTTTTTAAGAATAATTGATAATAAGAGATATCAATCTCCTTGTTCTGTAAAATATTTGGCAATTAGGTAAAATTTATGGTTAATTGATTGGAACTTTGTTAAATATAATAAGAAAAGAATGGGAAGATAGTTTTCGTATACCTATCCAGAAAAATGGAGAGTTTTCTATTTTTTTTTCTCTGAAGAATTTTTATAGAGATGTAATTGGGAAATATACTTTGTGTTAAGCAATTTCGGTTATTACTATTTCAAATAGTTAAAAATATGATTACATTAGACACGTCGAATAGTACAAGGAAAGCGATCACCCTCAAGTAAAGTAAGCCCAGCCCTAGTAATTTTATCAATTAGAATTGATTATTCATTACTTACCAGTGTTGATATCCATTTCAAATTCAATATTCTAACTTATGAACACGAGTGAATAATCATAATTTAAATTGTATTTCATTGTAATTTAACAAACATGAAGAGCATTGGCGCTATTGCGGCCATTATTGTAGTCAAACGTTTCACAGTTTTCCCGCGGTAAGTATTTTATTGATATAAAATTGCGTATAACATTATGGACAGAAATAAATTAAAAATTTCACTCTGTTTTTATTACATTACACAATGATTTAGATAAATTATAATACCTATAATAAATTTAATTTAGCAAAATAAACCCCCGAAGCCCTTAATAGAATTAGCCCGTTTATCTGTGCCGTTTATTTTATAAATGCGTTCCGATTTCGGTAAAATTTTGTCTGTTGTCTATCACTTAGCTCTTGTAATTTAGTTTTACACTTTATATTCCTTATTACTATACTTAAACGTTCATTTTAATAAATTAGTTAAGAAATCTGATAAGATAAGAGAGTAAGATTTTAGATATAAATATTAATATAATAATAATAAATCCACAATCTATGTGCTTCATAGACTGTTTAAAATTTATTTATAATTTAAAGATTGTAAATTATATTATATTATAAATAGTCATAGAATATTGTAAATATACTTTATTTTATTATGTTGATATTTGTTGGAGGTTGTATATTTTCGTTGTCCAGTTTCGTTAATATAAAAATATATTGATATATATATCAATCTTTGTTGATGTTCAGCTTGAGATATCATGTAACATTTTTTTAATGAAAGTGAACAGAACAGAATATAATTTAAAAGTGTAATAAAATTTAATATAAGAGTAAATGCAGAACGCATCGATTATTTTGGATGTGTATCAATTTAAAAATAATATTTATTTGAATTACAACCGGCCAGTAGTTTATAATTATTGCATGAAAATAAATATATTTTTGAGAAACTTTTTAAACAATCTTCATATTATAATTTATAAAAAATACCGAATTTAATACAAATTTAATTCTCGGAAGTAAATATCGATTATCGATTTTTCGAAATTAAAAATATCGATCATAAATATTGATACTTTTCTAGAAAACATCCATATTCCTATAAATTGATACTTTTTTTATTTAAGCTGTAAAAATGTAGTGATCATTTAGGGCTGTACGAAATTATCCAAAGCCGTAAAGATATTTAAAAAAAGTGATTATTTATTCTGTGAACATTTGTATTATCTCTTTAATCTGTGGTATTTGTTTTCTATAATTCGTATACCTACTTTACACATAATAATTCTACTGTTCGGTTTTTTAAAGTACTTAGTAATTATTTGATTTTCATTTAATTATCCCATTCGTTTAATGCGCAAGAAATTGTATACCTACTTTTTGCTCAGCTAATATATACAGCCATAGTTTCACCACTTATAGCTTAGTAAATTGAATGTGTATGTGAATTTATTGAGTGTTTTATGAGTATTCAACAAAATTACTTTTTTGTTAATATAATATCCATTGTAAATGAATACATTATCTAAGTTTATAGTGGTGTTTTAGGTTCTTCTATTTTAAACACTTATTCGAACATATGAATTGTGTTTAAAAAATGGGCAACTCAAGTCAAAAACAGCACTATGAAACTGCCTCGAAGACTGGTGTTCTTCAATTGACCGACTATAAATTAAAGGAAGTACCAATAGAAGCGTTAAATTTATGCGATATGCTGAGAAACCTAGATCTGTCGAAGAATAAATTAGCGTTTTTGTCAGAAGAAATTAGCAAATTCAAGCAACTCAAACAATTAAATTTAGAAGCAAATAGATTGGATGTACTACCAAATTCACTGGGTAATTTAAAGAAACTTGAGTTATTTAATATCTCTAACAATTTTGTGTCATCATTGCCACAGTCATTTGCAAATTTAATTAATCTGAAACATGTTTATTTAAACAATAATAAGTTTAAGGAGTTTCCTACTCAACTATTGAGGCTCAATAACTTAGAGGTGGTTGAGTTATCAAATAACAAAATTACAAAAATCCCTGAAGGAATGTCAGAATTTCATGCAATGGAATTAAATTTAAGCCAAAATGAAATTTCAATAATTAGTGAGGATTTGCATCAAGCACCGAGACTGAAAATATTGAGATTAGAAGAGAATTGTTTGAGTTTAGATGCAATACAACCAAGTTTATTGAGAGATTCCAAAATACATACAATAAATTTAGATGGAAACTTATTTGAGGCAAAACAACTGGCATCTGTTGAAGGATACAATGAGTACACAGAGAGATACACTGCAATGAAGAAGAAGATGTTTTGATTGTACACTCTTAGCATAAAATTTTCAAATAGATTAATATTATAAAAAGTTAATTTTTTTCATGAAAATAATATTTAAAGTTACTGTTTTATTGTTATTCTTTTCTAGTATATTATTAAATTGTAACAACCTGTAATTATTGTTATGAATTTGTAGTATCAATTGTTTTAGATGTGGATTTATAAGTTCATATTAATATATGTCACTTCATGTTTACAGATTTAATGTCAGGTAAAAGCATTTTACAAAATATAATTATGGGTAATTTCAAAAGTTCATAATTCATATTTTTACCCTAACAATAGTGGATCTAGTCTGTATCTTATGTTATGGTTATATATTTTACCACCCCATCTCGAAAAGTTGTAGAAGATGATAAAAAATGTAGTGTGTATGGTATGTGTGAAGTATGGTTTGTTTTTATAGTTTGACTCCTGAGGCAGACTAAAAAATTAATCCTATTTCAATTATATAATGAAAGCTACAACTATAAAAAATAAAATCATATGTATATTATTTTACCGAATTTTAAATTCCAAATTGATCTATATATAAAATTAAATAGATAAGTATTATTTATTTAAATTGTGACAAAAACAATATTTTTCTACTTATTTATTTATTTATTTATTTAACTCTTTATTGCACCATAAATAAAAATATACAATGACAAGTGAATAATTCAAATGAAATACAGTAACATAAATACAGATTGAAATATACACATAAAGGTACAAAAGGCGGTCTTATCGCTAGGGCAATCTCTTACAGACAACCTTTAGTTAAGGGAGAACAGATAGAAAAGGGCAGGTGGCGCAAGAGTGAATCAACAATTTTCGTGCACAAAATACAAAAACATGTAATGCACAAAAATATCAAATACATATAATTTATTACACTACTTACTATAACAATATATATACATACATACATACACATACACATACATATATATATACATACATAATCACATATAACATACATACAAAATACATAAACATACACATATAAATACATACATAGCACACACAAGGAAATATGACAAATCTAGTCCAAAAATTACAAAGGAGTGGAAAAGAGTAACTACAGTGAAAGAAAATGTTCCATAGGCGCACTGCCTGAACGGAAAAGGATTTGGTGTAGTACACGGAGGTATGTGCTGGGGTTTTTAAACGGAGACTATTTGAGGTACGCGAAGCGTGACTCTGAACTTCACCGAGAAATATAAATCGCTCTTTAAGATAGTGAGGTGTAAGAGGATTGAATAGATTGGAATAAAGAAGAGATAATATATGCCAATCTCGGCGTCGACGTATTGGGAGCCACTTGAGCTGAGTGCGAAAATTAGAGATGTGGTCGTATTTACGAAGTCCAAATATAAATCTAATACACAGGTTTTGGAGACGCTCAAGTTTATTAAGTTGGTCTTCGGTGAGATCAATGTAGCAGGTATCAGCATAGTCAAGGACGGGAAGGACAAGGGAGTGAGCAAGCGCAACTCTAGTGGCCATAGGTAAAAAATTACGTAATCTTCTGAGTGAGCCCACAATCGCAAAGACCCTCCTACTAATCTCTGTTATTTGGGTGCTCCAGGATAGCGTTCTGTCAAGATATATTCCGAGATCCTTTACAAAATCTTTATAGTCCACAGATATCCCGTCGAACATTATGTTAGGCAGATTTTCCCAGCAAATTCTTGAAATATAGTTGGGGCTCCTGATAATAATAGCCTGCGTTTTATTAGGGTTTACAGTTAATCCAAATGATTTACACCAGCTCGAAATGTGTGCCAGATCTTTGTTTATTGAATATATCGCAGAGTCTAACTCATGAAATGGAGCGTGTGAGTAAATTTGAAGATCATCTGCATAAAGGTGGTAGGAAGAGCGAAGTTGAATAGTGATGGTGTTAATAAATAACGAAAAAAGTAAAGGAGATAAGACGCCACCCTGAGGTACACCAGCTAGCGTGCGACACCATGATGAAGAGCCATCTTCAGTACGAATGCGTTGCTGGCGCCCATTCAGGTAACTTTGAAACCACTCGATTACGGCTGGAGATATGTTGAGAGAACGCAATCTTCCTAATAATATATCAAAATCGACAGTATTAAAAGCATTACTTAGGTCTAACAATGTTAAAACCGTAAGTTGTGAGTTTTCCATACCATGACGGATATCGTCGGTGATTTTGACAAGAGCAGTAGTCGTACTATGACCGGCACGGAAACCTGATTGGAGGGGATTAAAAAGATCATTCTTGGATAGGAATTCATTTAGTTGTTGATGGACAAGTCGCTCGAGAGCTTTAGAAAGAAATGGAAGAATGGAAATTGGACGGAAGTCTGAAAAAGATGTTGGATTGGGTTTTTTAGGGAGAGGAAGTATATGTGCGTTTTTCCAGACAGAAGGGAAAACTCCCGAGGACAAGGAATTATTGAAAACCAATGTAATAATGGGAAGGACAATGTCAAGAATGGGAAGGATCATAGTACGACTTATGTCATCTGACCCCACAGCATTAGAAGTAATAGCTAGCAGGCTCTTCTCAACATCACAGTCCGCAACTGGAGTAAAGAAAAAAGGCGAATAGTCAGGGATTGGAATAGAAAAAAGGTAATTAATCGTGTTTGTTTTACTTACTATTATATTAAAATAATAAATTATATTTCAAGTTCATTATCATCTCTTGAACAAATTGTAAGACAACTCTCATCATCAATATTTTTATTAGGTATGAATAATATTGGTAATGCTTTAATATCCATATATTGGGTTTGTCTGAATACTGATTGTGGAAAAAAGGCTATCACTCATTTTGGCATCATACATACTAAATGGACATCTATATTAATTGCAATATTTTATATTAGATAACCAATATTTAATGTATTTTCTATTGGGCTAATATATAAATATTGTAACTACAATATATTAATATTCTCATAAATTACACATCTGTAATTTTTATTTTATTTAATAGCATAACTATATTGGACCCTTAGTAAAATGTTGATCTAAAAAAACCGGTCAGGGGCAACTTTATTTTGGGCAATAATTGTCAAAAACCGCATAACTAAGTTTATTTTTGAAGGTTTATTTTATGATTTCTCGAAAATTTAAAAATTCGAAATATCGTTATATTTTTACTGAAATATTCTAACTCATAAATGTGAAAGTGAGTTTGTTTGTTACGGTTTCACGTCTAAATCGTTGAATCGACTATGTAGAATTTTGGTGTAGAGATAGACGTGACTCTGGACACTTAGCCTATAACTTGCGAAAAACTTATAGGGGGTGGGGTGAGGAAAGGGTAGTTTTTGTATAAACCTAATGCGTCATCAGAATTGCTTCAAATTTTACAGAAATATTGTTTATAATTCATAAATAAAGTATACATATTTCTTTTTTTAAACTACTCCTTAAAAGGGGTGAAATGCATTAACATATTATTTTTAAAAGAAGCATGAGCACTTGCACCTTGCAATGAAAAACTTTAGTTTTCAATCCAGTTTTTTGTTTATATTTTCAATACAAAAATGCCGCAGCAATTATTATTTCACAACCAAAGACCAATTTTAAATCTATTCATAGAATAATAACTGTGTAGGCTAGATAGAATATAATTATACTTAACAAAATGGAGGTAGCAAAATTTATATGGAAAAATCGTACTTAAATTACATTCAGCTCTGTTCTTTTATCCCGTTAAGGATTAATTGACAAAATTGTCGTAACAAGTTTGTATTAAACAGTGAAATCAAAAACTATTATGCAATTTTTTATGTTTAGTACTATAACAATTCGATAGATGGCGCTGAGCAACTTTTACAACACGGGTTTATATTATCAACTAATAATATTACAAAAGGAACTTAAAATTCTGATTGAATGATTTGTTGTCATGTGTTTAGCTCTATTTATATGTTAATAATATTGTAATTGCATTCCATTTTTTTGTTTTTGTTTAAGTGAGTGTTTTTTATTACTTTCAGATTTGTTATCTTACATTACGCCTCATTCTATTTTTCACTTATTTTACTGAGTAAAATATAATTATATATTACATTATATACTTTGCATAAATTGTTATCTGTGTTTAGTTCTATGTTAATTATATTGTAATTGTATTACTTTTTATATCGTTTACGTTTTTTTTTTTTTTGTAATTATTACCTCTATCAACACCAAGAATTGTTAAACAAATATTTAGGCGAACGAAGCCGCCTAAAGAGCCCGAAAGAGTAAAAGGTAGTACTTTTCTAAATTATAATTATTTCGGATTTTTCGCTTAAGAAACTTCGGAGATAGGGGGAGAGAACAGGTGGATACAGGGTGGAAGGGACAGGATGTCTAAAACGAAAACAGCTGATTCAGATGAATGATCTGAATCAGATGGCAGATTATTTTCCCACCGGAAATGCACCACAGACATATATTTAACGATTCTTAGTTTTCATTACGCGTAATGTATTTAAAAATTTACGACGTACTGTGCTCCATGTGATGCGGGATATTTACGCCGTGCGTTCAACAGCGCTTCTTCGTAGGTAGTTTTCGTACGCTTGTGGCGTAGACCATATATAGCTGATTCCACACGTCGTCGGCGTCGTGTTAAGATTTTAATACGAATATTACATTACTGCTTTTTGGTACTTTATAGTATTTCACTATAAAAATATTATTGTTTCTTTATCTTATGACATAATATCATAGAATACTTGATTTTAAATAAAAAGAAATTGATATTTGTTTTAAATAACAAGTAATGGTACACTTTGATGAAATATGATGGTTGGCCCATATAGGAAATGTACCATTGCCATATGTGCAATGTACCATATATACAGTTTTTTTTTATTGAAGAAAATGTTACCCTGCTTGCGCTATTATCGATGTCCTTTGGTGAGGTACCAATTAGTGATAGGTACGTGAGGATAGAGTCAGGTGTTATGAATCTGCTCGATTATCGTAATCGTAACGAAATACGATCGAAATAAAATAAAATAAAGGAACCAAGAAAAAAATCTTACAATTATTTTATATAAGGATTGAGATAATTTAAAGCCCATCTTGATGAATTCCTGGAATTAATCAAGATAGTAGACAATATTAGTAATACGGCCATTAGACCAGAATCTAATTTCTTCGAATATACAGTGCATTCTTTTTATGGATAAAAACATGACTACCTACCTATAAAGTACCTTATAATCTGAGGATAATTCATAGCTGAGGATAAAGACTTGAGAGTCTGTATGTTCTCATTATTAT